TCCTATTGCCTCGAGTTTAGCACAACATCAAATTCCGGCATGCAGCACGCGAGAATTTACCGCGCTTGGTTGCCCTCTGAAATCCTTCCGAAATATGGGAATGCTGTAGAATGGGAGAAAACAATATAGCGAATAGATTTCAAAGGGCAACCAAGCGTGGTAAATTCTCGAGTGCTGCATGGGAATTTGATGTTGTGTTAAACTCGATTGCGTTTTTCCCTGATTCAAACGTTTTCGGGTGTTTCGAAATAGCACAAGCGTACTTGCGTTCAGCGGCTTCTAGAGTGTATAAGGGTCATTTCAAAAATGAACGAGTGATAAAACCTTTTCGGAAACATCCAAAACCTAGCAAATTTGTCTGCATCAAGTCCAGTCTTCAGTGCATGCATAATTCATACCCTTTTTATAGAAATTCCAAGATATCTCGAAAATCCTCTTATACTGATGTTTGTGAAACTTTGCACAGCAGAAGACATTTATCCAAAGAATATGTAGCATAAAGCATTTCAAAAGAAAATGCCGAACAGGGCTGGATTCGATTTAGAGTTAAAACCACTGTAACGTCATTGCCACGTGACATTTATTCAGAGATTCTGGGGGTCATATTCCAATGCGTCAGCAAATTTTCAGTACACGTGAAGAACAAACTTATTAAAGCTAACAAAAAATACTCGGCGTCTAAGCCTGTGAGTGTTTATGATTTCTCAGAGAGGCAAGACCGTAAAATGTTCAGAAAAGTTTTTAATTCTAAAGGACATCCACTTTGCCATCCACTTTGCTACCATTCCTCGTGTTAAACCGTTCAGTTACAATCTTAGGAAAGAAAGATTAACACTAAGCGTTTTAAAAACTCTTTTAATCACCGTTTAGTTTTTAAATATGAATTAGCTATGTACTATACTAGGGTATACTATACTGGATCGAGTCACCTTAAGATTGAGGTTTTTCGGGAAATTCCCGCGAACCGCGAACGTCAAGAAGTCATGTGATCAGGGCCTTGACGTCAGGTTTGCGGTTTGAGGTTCACGTTTGTACGGCTAGACCACGCTGCAGAGCTTAGTGATATACTGAAAGGTTTTTTGCACCCTAAAACTTTAGAATTCCACGTTTGCGAAGAAATACAACTTTTTACAACTCTTTTGCTTATATTGATTAGCAATTCTATTTCAAAAAAACGTAATTTTGAAGACAATTTCTCAGCTAAAAATAGAAGTAAGAGGATGAATGAAAACAAACACGGCAGCCGCGAGCTACCATCCGCGAATCTTAAGTCCCAAATATGGGTAGACGGGTAGTGAAACCTTTAACCGCAAACTGCAGTTTGTCGTTTGCAGTAAAATGACCAAACCTAGGCATGAATAGATTGTGCTAGTAAATTCAGGAAAAGTTGCTTCACAATATACCCAAAAGTTGCTCTTAAGTTGCTCAAATATCAAAAAGTTGCCACCAAAATTTAGAAAAGTTGCTTGCTCTCTAGAGTCGTTTTGTTTTCGATAAATACTCAAAACGTGTTTGTTTGTTTGTTGCCATTTAAACATTTTCATGTAATATATCAAACATGAGATGCAGTGTTTCATCACCAGATGAAACACCGAGAAGAGAGTTGAAAATACGACGCGCAGCGGAGTATTTTTGACGAACTTCGAGGTGTTTCATCTGGTGATGATTGATATTTCTTCTCAAACAAAATCATTTTTGAAGGAGAAATTAAGGATGCAAATACTAAGCAGTGTTTCATCCGATTTCCAAACACTCATTAAACATTAAATTCCTTTGTATTTTCTTAATGAATTATTAATGAGTTTGAGAATAAATATTCTTACAATCATTAAAAGAGGTCAAAAGCCATTGTTATATGACAAATATAAATAATATGTTGTAATCAATATACTCTTTAAACTCAACATAACTTCAATAATAGATACGTATTTTCTAGTTAAAGTTTCTAACTAGTCAACCTTGCAAAGTTTTCTTGGATGGGCATCATAATGTTAACTATAAAACCAGTTTTAATAAAATCCTTCGAAATGAAACGACCTTTTATGGTTTGGGTCGGTTTTATATCAATTTGTTGCTCAAAAGTTGCCAAGGAAGGCAAAAGTTGCCCTAAGTTGCTACTACTACAAAGAGTTGCTCAAAACGCTAAAAGTTGCTCAAAAGTTGCCGAGCACAATCTATTTATGCCTAACCAAACCTCGATCTTAAGGTCTCTATTGATTTTATGTAACTCTGTTCAGTTATGTACTCTGTCGAGTATTAAGTCTCCTACGCAGCCATTATTTGTCTCGAACAATCAATAATTTTCTATTCTTTGAAATCGAGGTGATTAATTCCCGAGCCACGAAGCGGCGAGGTAAATATTCCTAAAGCCACTATTCACCGTGTCGTTCGTTGTATTAAGTGCTGACCGTAATGGCGGCTCGTCGGTTGCTCGAGGTCAGACGTCGTCTTCCTGTAGCATTCTTTTTCCTGTTTACTTGAAACGTAGAATTTGAAATTGTTTTGTTAGGAAACGCTGAGTTCACGAAACGGTCTCTTCTACGCGAATAAACGGGAGTTGTAAACAAACCATCGAGCACAAAACTCAGCTACAGTAATTGGAAAAACGCCGTTTTGAATCCTTCGAAGTCTTTTGTTGCCTTAAAAACAGTCAACCCTTGTATTTTGTCCACTTTTAAAAGATCATTAAAAAAAAAATGGGAAACTGAACACCGAGCTCACACTTTATCCACTCGCTATCATACTGATTCACTTAATCTATTTGTACCACTTACACAATCCAAAAAAGTAACTATGTGGGTATCATCGTGCAGCGGACAAGCTGTTCGATAAGCAGTGAGTTATTAAAGTTTTTGCGCGTGTTCTTCCGGAAAGCTTCAATATACCTTTTTTCACCGAAAAGTTTAGTACTAACGGTTATTTAAACTGAAGTCGAGGTTAAGCCCTCTCCCGATGGCAAAATGATAAGACTTCTTATATTATTTGATAACTTGTTCCCGCCATTACGACATTCTCGCTAAAACTCGTCGTAGAATGACGACGGCTATCATGTTTTCCCGCCAAAATGACGCTGGCTCACGCGTGAGCAATACTCAAAATCTCGTACTCGTTGTCGTCCTCGTCTCAGAAACTGAAGCTCTCTATTAATGTTTCTCACTTCATGTCTGTCAGTAATTTTACTAATTGCTTAAGATAACTACTAATTATTGGCGGTTCTTTAAAAATACCCGGGTTTTTCCAATTCCTTTTTACAACCAGTGACCACAAAACGTCAGTCTATTTTTTTTTATATCAGCTATTAATAGCTGAAAGACGTCAAATACTGATGATCAATTATTTAGAATTATTACAAACGCTAGGTCTTGATCATGTCTTGATGGAAGTTTTGTACGTAAAAACCTAAAATGGAATCACAGCAGAAAGGCTGAGAGATGAGAGAATATTAGACAATGGTCCGAATAAAATACAAAAAAATAACGATAATAAAATAAATAAAAAACAAAACAAACTACAACGAAAATGGTCCTTGCGGTATTGTTCTCAGTTTCAGTCTTGATATTGCTTAGTCCACAAACAAACACTATAATTACCGTCGTTAGACCTCCCCGGACTCGGAAACCAATGAGACAAGAGCGAAATATCCGCATTGACAGAGGTGTTGGTATCATGGACTAGGAATTGCATGAAGTTGTTATCAATACATGTATCTTCGAAAGGCTTTAGAACAAGTACACACAGTACCAGACGTTGCTCTCATTCAGATGGACAATTCTTGGAGTGATAAAATGAAATCAGTTTAAAAAAAAGGTGATTGTTATTTTAGTTATTGAGAGAATCTCAAATTTCTCGTTCTGTGGTTATCCGCAATACTGGCCTTTGAGTTTTACACTGTTGTTATAAATTCTGAGTTATTAAATTGATCTCCATTTAGTATTTAGCGGTGAATTGGAAGCTACGGACGTCGATTAATATTATTACCTACGTGTATAACTAGCAACCTTATATAACTAGAACATTCCATGAAACATAGTGTCATTGCATTTCAAAGAATCTAGTTGGGAGCTGGTTTAAGATTTATCTGAATTAGGCCACCGTTATCTCAGTTAGAATGAATGTTAATAAGTGATGCTTTCTTTTTTTGAGAAAAAGGCAAAAATCAACTTCCTCATAGTAGGCCACATGCTTGAGAACAATCGACTGGTGTTTACTCGAATTGCAGGTGATATATCACAAAGAAAAACATCAGAACCTTGATATGCAATTCGGCAGTTATAATTATATTTATGTTATATTTATCAACTATCTCAGGGGCATCCAACGACAATATAGTTCAAAAGCACTTCAACATAGCATTTTTAAACGTATTTTAGTATTTAAACGGTAGATGTAGCCATATTTTTATCCTGTAATGACTTTTCATCTGTTCGGTATCCTAGCTGAAAGTCTAGTGATCCGAAAATTGTAGGGATCAAAACTTACCTTTTCGAAAATTTCAGCCAGAAAAAAGGCTTCCGACAATTCTAGGCGACCTTTTGAGGGAAGAAATCCGTTAAAAATGGGCAATTATACCATTTTTTAAATGTTCGAAAATCCTAGGAGAGGCAGGCAAGTAAGAAATTTTACAACAAATGTTCCAAAGATCCTAGATCTCAAATCGTCTTCCGAACACATATTTTCCAAAAATTGACGTTGGGTGCCCCACCATTAGTTCTGAAACCTTTCTGTTACGTAACGGGATACTTTACATCGCTGATAAAGGTCTAGCGATTCGATTCGAACTGTTGCTCTGAGTTTTGAATGAATGAATGAATGAAAACTTTATTAACTTGTCTTCAAGATAATAGCTAAGGGGGAAAGTCCCCTCTACTAAGTAAGGAGGCCTACTAACACTATCTTAAAATAAATTAAATAAATAAATAAATTACGTTAAGCTTAAACTTAAGATTATACATGACTACAAAGTGCATATTTTACAATTTTTACACAGATCAGTGTCAAGAATGTTAGACAGATCGGCCTTGCGAATGAAGAATTTAAATTGCTTTAGGGATGAGATATTTCTTGCTTCAGACGAAAGTTTGTTCCATAGTTTAGGTCCAGTATAGCGAAGGGAGTGCTTTCCAAAGTAACAGTCGAAAATCGGGGGGAGAATAAAGTCAGCGCTTCTCATATTATAGGGTGTAAATAAATCCTAGATTCTCTGTGGTAGAAGTTTCAACTTTACTTTGTACATGAGGATTAAAATGTCTTGTATACGTCTGTTGTATAAAGAGGGTAAGTTGGCTTTTACTAGCAGTTCTTCATAACCAGATTGTTTGTCATTGAATGTCGTCCTAAGCCCTCTTTCTTGAACGCGCTCCAGTTTCCTCCTGTCACTTTCCCTACACTGAAAAGTGCCAGGTTAAATGGCCATAGGTTAGACGAAGAAGTATGGCCGCTTTGTACAGTTGTAGCTTCGCGGCTGTTGGTACGAGGATTTTTAGCCTCATGAGAACCCCAATCTTTCGACTAGCTTGAAAATTTTATCAATACTAAATGTCTTCGGCAGAGTAGATGAAAAACGTTTGGTGATATCAAATTATTGGTAAGTAGTTTACTAAGACATTTTACTTTGGTCAAAGAAAACACTCCCACAGTTTCATTTTCACGCGAATCTGGAAAATTTATAAGCATGAGATATATATAAAATCTGTTTCATAATTATAAGCTTTACCTTACTATTTACACCCGTTCTGCTGCAGCTCAAAAACTCGCATGATAAATAACGAATTTAAAGATTAATATAATTATTTTTATCATTGTTCTTTTGAACATTTTGGCGTCCTAAACAAGACTTTTAGTTACTGATGAGTAGATAACCATATTTCTTAACTTTTTTGTCAAAAATATGGCCAAGATCCTCAGTTTTTGCCAGAGATACTTCTCCAGAATACCAACTTTAACTTTTAGAAATTCGAATGTGTTCTCGGTATTTATTCCCGACTGTTTATTGCAAAACACAGTTTGATCGGGTTTTAGGTCTTCAAGGTCCACACACGCGGAGCCCCATATCCATCCTAGAAAATTTGGTAATCACTTGACCATACACCGAGCGACCGTCCGTCCGCACCACAGGCATACCAATGTAAAATAATTCAATCAACAAGTATGGCAACTCGAGGCTATTTTGGCGGGAAATTGCATAGCCATTCGCGTCTTGTGAAGCAGAGACAACTAACGAGTCAATAAAGACGAAAACGGAAAGCGGAAATTGTTTCTGTATCCGTGTTGTCTAAAGTATTAAGCTTAGATAAATTGTCATCTCCACAAATTTGGAATACAGAGAAAAAGAGAAAGTAGGCGACGGAACAGCGAAGCTCAACGGGGGGCCTTTTTTTTCAAGCACTCAAACGTTTGTTTCATTTGATTTACCATGCATTTATCTCTTGTGAAATTAGCCTCAGACAATTAGTTGTGAACTTTGGCAGACTCAACAATATGTACAGATGGGAAATACAGTTTCGTCAAAGCAAACAATGACGTGCGGTATTCCACAAGGAAGTTCCCTAGGCCCAGTATTATTTTTAATCTACATAAACGATTTACCAACCTGTTCAAATGCTCTAACATTTAGAATATTTACAGACGATACAAATTTGCCTCAGCCCGCAAACTGAAATATCTTGAGGAAATAGTTAACTCTGAACTTAAAAAATTGAAAATATGGTGTGATGTAAATAGATCGTCAATTAATTTCACTAAAACAAACTTCATGAAAAAAAGATGACCAAGTAAGTATCAAGATTGAAAGTGCAGATGGTACAATAAATGTGTTGCAAAGGAAGCAAAAAATAAAGTATCTAGGTGTCTTGCTTGATGAAACGATGTCTTTCAATCACCATACATCTGTACAAGAATTGCGCGAAACAATGGTATTATATCTAAGTTGAGACATCATCTAACTCTTCTACAAATGAAACAAATCTACTACAGCTTAATATACCCATATATCTCTTATGCAATATTAGCATGGGGGAGTGCATACAAAACACATATTGATAAGATACAAGCTAAGCAAAATCATTCTGCTAGGCTTATTTTCTTTGCCACCACTTATGGTGAACACACAGAAAGTGCACTTCCCCTACTAAATTTATTAGACGTTCTTACGGTACATAATGTTATCGATTTCAGATTCTAAAATTCACGTATCTCTCGCATAAAGGCCTCCTGCCAAAGCTGTTCTCAAACTATTTTCAATATGCCAATAATGTCCACAAATACAATACCAGATATGCATCGAAACAGAATCTTTACGTAAAAATAGTGCGAACTAATACGGGGAAACAAACAATCGGATATGCATGTACCATCTGGGACAAAATTCTCATAACTTCTAAAGAACTAAACACATAACAATTCCAAAAACAATTGAAACCTTATTTGCTGTCAGAACAACATAGTTAACATAACTTAAGCATATACTCTTTCTTTCTTACATTGTATTTTAAAACTGCTTCTTTGTTAATAAATTCTATCTCAATTCTCTAAAACTTTAAATTCTGGAGAACTGGCTAGAAAATCTTAGGATTATTTCAGCTCCAGGCCTTATTAAGTACAAATAAATATATATATATATATATATATATATATATATATATATATATATATATATTTTCTCTTTCATGTGTGTATGTAATTAATTAAGTACAAGGCGAATAAAGGTATCGTTGTTGTTGTTGTCGCAACAAGCCAGTATAAAAACATGTACGAGAAGTTGAGCTCAACATGTTATATATTTTTTTCATATTGCCCTTGCATATTTTAAGGTCTGTTAACATTCCATTTCTTTTTTGTTACACTTAACTTCCAGGAATAAACAAATTGGAGATAATTTCTTTCCTAGCGAGCAATTCTTTAACGATGTCAGTTACTCACTTACGTTGAGTAAAAAAAAAGAACACAGACACTAAAAAAGACACAAGAATTCGTAAATTCTTTCGTAAGACCATGTTGTTTACTCCTTACACCTTTACCGGCAAGATTATTTGTCACTTCAAATGACACAATGCAGACCTAACGTCAGAAGTAACTTCTAAAATGTGACGTCAAAATGAAGAGTTTGACTCCTTAATGTCAGGTTTTATTTCCAACCTTAAAATGTATGCAACTTGCCCAGGACCTGTGCGTCTTTAAATTGGTAAAAGTCAAACAGAATTTGTTTTTGAAAGTCAAAACACGGTTAAATTGATGATTACACTCAGGCAAAGCCTACGCCAGTTTTCCTAACATACGACAGGGGTTTCATATTCAACAACAACTTTGCTGTTGGAGACAAAGTTGTTGTATATGCACGCTACGATCTCAGAAGGAAATGCAATCTGTCGTTATTGGTACGCAGTTCATTATAACACCAATTTCGATGGGCCTGTAACATTGAACAGCAATCAGATTCTTACGTCTCTCCAAGGACAAGTGAGATTTTAAAACGTTAACTTCTCTTAAAACACGAAATCGTAGCGTATTTTATCCATCAGTCAATTGAAACCCCAGCCGCCCGACCCCCGGGGCATAGCGATGATGGACCCGGGAACCCAATCTGATTCCCGATTTCGCACGTTTTTAGATTCAGTAACACATATGCATACCTTTCATCAGCTGTGTCGACACTATAAAGACTTCTTCCCCAATTCATTTTGCCCAGGATAGCATCAAAAACTGCATTTGAAATTAACAGAGCGTTAAAAGCAATAAACCTTAAGGTTATTTTTAATTTTCTAATGTAGGTGTGATATGCTTGTCTTCATTTTGAAGTATCTTGCCGCGAGTACCTGTACAATCTTGGATTGAAAATACTTGTACTGTTAAATTGGAACATTGCAAGTAAATTTACTAACTTCACCAGGGGTCATGAAACTTCTTTTGGTTTCAGTATTATTAGTAGCGTATGGTGCTATCTTTGTTTTCACCAAAGGTAAGTTTAAGAACATGAGTCGAGCAGTATTTAATATTTATTTGATAGTATTTTATTTCAAATCCTGGACTTAAAAGTTTAGCGTACTGCTTACTGATTATATTAAAGACAATATTAATTACATCGGAATTTTTCATTCCATTTTTATCGTTCAGGTTAAATAGTTAAATAGTTTTATTGTGAAAGAGGCAATGTCACTTCACTAGTATTTCTTTGTAATAAATCAAGAGAATATGATTGAATCAATAAATAAACTGTGGCTAAACTATTCGATATTTCGTTTCAAACTACACATTACACTTTTTCGCTGCAAATAGCAGGTTTCCAAATCATGAACCTAGCTCTTCAAGCCTCAATGAATTAAGAACGAATTCGAAATACAAATTGAGTGCACCCACATTTTTATTGGTTATCCGGCTGAGGACCAACGTCAAACCAAAACGTCCATGAGTCTTTTAATATGAAATACATTGCAATTCAAGTTCTAAAAATTTTTATTAAAAAACTTAAAGTAACAAAATAAAAGAAATTGTTTCTTCATCTCACTTTAATTGATATTTATTCATTCTTTGGCAGCACGGTATCTAACCGTAGATTTGCTGTCCGTGCTTTCAATTCAATTCGTCAAAAAAAACCAACCCAACAGTACAAAATGATTTTTAGGGCTCAGATCAATTTCTAGCTATCGCTTAGACCACGGTTATACCATATACAGGTGTGTTCCAAATACCCCACGTCATTTAGCCGGAGGTTTCGTCGCCCAATGGCGGAAAGAAAATTTATTTGCGGCAAAGCAGCCAGGAAAAAGAAGGAAAACTGAAACCTTTTCGTTCCTCTTTCCCATTCCTCTCACGGCTTCGTCACAGATGAAGTCACGCAGCTCTGTGTAGAATAAATTCGTTTTTTCAAAGATCAGTTTTTTTAGAATTCTTAAATTGAATAAAACTGAGGTCAATGAAGCCGAACAGGACATTCTTGTTTAAAAAGAACGACGTACGGTTTCACTTAAGTGAAACACAATAATGGCCTGCTGGTTGTTAAACAATGGACAGGTGCATTAGATCGGGTGATGCCCTCACTCAAAGACTCAAAAAATGCTAACCTCTTGCTATACGCTCGGTCATTATTTTTAAGAGGGCCCCGGGGCTATAAATTTTATCATAACAGATAAAATTTGTATTTGTGTCTCGAATTATTTGACACGAAACTCCCATTTATATACATCCAAAATAGAAAAATGTGACATTGCAGTGACAAAACCAAGTAGAACCAGACAATATTGATATTGTCAAAACTTCACCCCCAATTTCGCACGTGATTGATCATGTTGACAATCTTTGAAACATCTTACAGGCATAAAGAGACACCTATACGAAGGGGACTTATTACTGACGGCCCATGAATACAAGGTGCTTAAAACTAGGACCCAAGGACATAAACGAGGTTTCACACTCGGTCGCAGGTGGCCTGATGGGCCTGATGGCCCCATGATCCCTTTCCAGCTGGACAGTGATCTAGGTAAGTTCAGTTGTACTAGAGTTTTAAAAGGGAAAATCTAGGAGAGTTAATTACTGGCCATCCTTGTCTAATTGTGCTTTAAAACTCGTTTTGCACTCGGCTTTTTTTTGAGAGGAAAACTGCCGGGGTCGGCTATAACTGCTTTTCTTAGATCCGTTTACGCCTGTCCGGACAATTTTTTTAACCTGGGCGACCCGTTTACTCGGAACTGTGCACTTCTGTCACAGATTACAGTGTTGTTGCCAGTGGCGGATCCAGTGAAGGAGCCCGAGGGGCCGCTCCCCCCTCCCCACCTTATTTTTAGACTAAAATGAGGCCCGAAGGGCCGAAAACAATTTTTTCTGAAAGTCTGGATCCGCGACTGGTTGCCATTCAAAAACTTGCACGGTTCCGCGGGTCCCGTGTGAACAAAAGACGGATCTTTGCAAGTTTTGGTCCGTTCCAAATTTGTACATACCCATGTAGAATCGTTAGGAAGGATTCCCTACCTTATAAGCGGACTGTTGCGGGGTTGAGATCTTTCTGTGAGAGAATAGTTCTTCAAAAGGGGTTTGAGCGCATGATGAAATGTTACTTACTGTTCTTTATTGTCGAAGAGCTAGAGGATCGACATAACCACAGAAAAAGGTAGAGTTAACTTGATTTTATTAACCGTTGCCTTTTGAAGGGAAGAGTTCGAAGGCTGGTGACGCAATTGAAGGAGCCATGAAAGAATGGGAGAAAAAATCGTGCGTGAAATTTGTACCTCGGTCCAACCAAAGGGTCTACATTACGTTTGTCCAAGATAAAAGGGATCGGTAAGTACCAAGAGATGATGAAGTACTTATGGTTTTTTTCTTGAAAGTACATATGTCTTACAAGTCAAGAAAATGGTGTACCGATTGGCGGCAGTGTGGGGCTTGGCGGGATTTTTGTTTCATCAGTTTCTTAAGCTAATTTTTCACGAGTCCTTTCAGAAAAGCCAAATACGGATTATAGTTCCATTTTGATATATAAATATAGTAATATACATTTAGGATCACCTCTTGTAAGCGACCACTTATCCAAAACACCAAATATTTTCGCTGTCAAAGCCTTATAGTTGGAAACTCTCTTAGACGTTGCTAACTCTCGTTAGAGTTCGCTTCCACTTTTTACTATGATTTCTTTAAAACTTTGCATTGTTTGCTACTTGTTCTGAACGACCTTTTGATACAATGGTCTGATCTTTGTGATCCCTTTATGTACTACGCTGCTCAGAGTGTATGAAGATCTTTATTGTAACCTAAAAAATGCATGCTATACGTTCTCTCCAAAAAGTAGATATGTTCGGACTTGTCCTCGTAAAATACTTCCTGCAGTTGAACTCTCGAAAGGGACCACTAACTCTTCGCAACTTGGGTGGTCGCTTACGGGAGGTTCGACTGTGGCAGAACATTCTATGATGAGGCGAGTCCTGTGTTTCGGTAAGCTACCCGAGCGGGCAAGAGCGGGAAAGATAGGCCTTTCCTTTTCCGCCACAAAATAAATCCCATTATCGACAAAGTTTGAGCGGGCAAGATGGTTGGAAACGTCTTACAAGTGCGTGATTTGAAGCTCGGATGATTCTTTTGTATTATGCATATCTGTGATTACATTGTTCGGAAAATGTTGACCGACACCATGTGACGTTACCCAGTTCATTATACTATATTAATATGGCCAAACCGTTGTCGTGTTAACGGGTTCCATTGTATCAAGTGTTTGCTTATGTGTAAGTTTTCTTTTCAGTTGTGCCTCAACAAACGTTGGTTACACTGGTAGACCATACTCTGTGCTTCTTGCTCCAAGATGCTGGTGGCATGGAATGATTCTTCATGAACTTGGTTAGTGCTCTTTCAATAAGTTTACAAGCTTCTATTCTGGATGCTAGCGCTTGTGACGACGAATTACGCTGATTGAGGAAAAGAAAGATCAATACTAAATGAGTACCTTTGTCATTTTAAGGTCATGTTATTGGATATTTGCATGAACACACTCGTCCTGACCGTGACCGGTACGTGACAGTCAAATGGGAGAACATCAAAAAAGGTAAGTTACTAAGGAACATTTCTGCTCGTGTAGTCTTTTTGATTCCAAATACCTTAGAAGTATCAAACAAAGAAACACCAAATGATCTCTTTCCTCCAATCGATGCAGATCAGGTTAATCTTATCCAGTTTGTGGATTATAGTACGAGATCAATGCGTGTAAAACGTCTTCTTCTAAACCTCGTCAAGAGACGATTTTGTGTTTGTATAGCGTGAACAAGTGCTTGGTGGGACAACGTACCGAGAGGCCTGACCATTTTGGTCCGTATAGCTGCAAAAAAATTTTTGCTCGGTTTGCGAATGCCTTCTAGTAAGTAATTACCAGCTGTAGATCGCAGTAGCGTCTCGTCTGGACTAGTGATTCCAAACTGGATACACCAGACCCAATTCGTGTTGACGCAAATATCAAGTATACGGGTTCAGCGTATTTGGATTCGTGTGGAAGTGGCCTTAGAGTCACGTCTACGGCAAACTTCAAACGTCAGATTCAAGTTGAGAATTTCTCAAAATAGAAAACGTGCAGTTAAAAACAGTGCAAAACAATTATTATAGACCAAGGCTAATATGAAGCTACTAATCTTAGGGTAGACGTAATGAATAGTAAAGCACCTATTAAGGAAAAATTTGGTCAGGTGCTGCAAATTTACGTTTGCTGTTTGCCGTAAACTTCACGTGCGAAAAAGGACCTAAAACGTGCTCCTATACTACTTCCATAAGAAAAGTGAAAAAGAAAGTAAGATGGGCCTTGCAATTAAGAAACCTGAACTATTAACGAATGAACAATCCATGATGAATATCGAAAACCTGAACAGAATTAGTTGACCGCCACGATACTGTTTTTGGCCAAATAAGACTTTCTCTATTTTATTAAGGACTTCCTTTTGAATTTACACCATGCATAATTGTGTTAAGAGAAAACACTTAATTGAAACAACAAACGAGAACTCAAATTCTGAAGGAAGGGGTTCCGTTAACCTGTTTTTTTAAAAAACAAGGTTAACCAGGTTAACTAAATAAGCAAATTAAAATGATTTCTATCTAATAACAATATTGCCGCCAATCAAACATACACGTCAAGTGAATGTTTAATATACATGCAAATTTGATACGCTTACGTTCACTGCATTCTAGGCCGAGGATGGGATTTCCAAAGACAGAACAACAGCGACCCAAGTTCCTACGCAACTCCTTACGATTACAGCAGCATTATGCATTATGGAGATGGATTTGCCTCTAAAAATGACGAGAAGACCTTGGTACCGAAAAAATCAGGGGTAAGAAGCAGGAAAAACCATTTGTCTGTTTAAAAATACTACATTGTGGTTCATTGCTGTTGAAACCCTGAATTTCGTCTTTCCCGGCCTTCCCCTTCAACGTTGATCTACGACGTTTATGCTCGAGCAACTTAGTTTATTCTATTTTTTCGTGAATTTAGATGTTTCAATTATTTATGAACGGGATTGCAGACGTCTCCTGAACAAGAGATTTGGAGATCAGAAATATTTCTGCTTCAAAGAGTAATAGATTTTTAACATACTCTTATACTCTCGCTTTCTCCAGGTAACTATAGGACACTGGGACTCCCTCAGTGAAATCGACATTCAGCAAATCAATTTACACTACAACTGTCCTGCAGGTTAGTTAAGTACTATGACATATAACATATATAACAGCAGGAGACACAACATTTTTGAGTGGAGGCACTGGTCTTGGGAATATCAGAGTTCGACAAACCAACCCGCTCTAAATGGAGTATCAGGACTTCAAAAGGGGTTAGAGGAATGGAGATTTGAAACTCGAAGGGGAAGTGAACACTCGACGGTTAAGACAGAGCTTTTTTGTATTCTAAACTCTTTGAAAAAAACAAATGGTTTATTTTGATACAACATTTAACTGGTAAAGGTCTTTGTATTAATTTATAGCTTGCGATGATAATCAGAGCGTTCGAATACAATGCATGAGTCAATCGATCATCAAATGGCGTGGTCTTGAAAGTGAAAGCTGTTCTTTGTTTGTAGATTCCTACATCTTCGAAAAATCCATCTGCCAAGATGAGAAGGACAAGATCGAATGTTACGGGGGAAGAAAAATTAAGATAACACTTGCCTACTACGGCAGGACAAAAGTGTTTAAATGCGGACTGGGTTTCTCAACCAACTGCAAAGCAAAGGGATCAGAAGATAAGGTAACGCCAGTCAAACCCCGCGGACACCTCGTTATTGCAGGCATGCAGTGTTTTGCTGTGTCCCTGGGAAAAGAAAGCCCTTACATTTTCTCTAAATTCAACCCGCTTAATACCGATATCCCGTTAATAAGGACGCTTTCTATGGTCCCAGCAAGGTCCGTATTTACAGGGTTGACTGTAATTCTTTTCACTGAAAAAAAAAAAACAATAAGCATAGGCTAATCATCGGAAAAGTTACGGTGAAGGAAAGTTTGGCAGAGAGTACGCTTGAAAGATGCACAACTTTGTTAAGTTGTTATACCTGTCAGACGGTAGCTTCATCTGAAATCAAAGTATTTACACTGTTATTCCTATAATCACCAGGCTCCATTTGTTCAAAAGGTAGCACAATTTGTTTCCCTAATACTTATCCACTGGATAGTGATTTATCCGATGGATAGAGCTATCCACCTTTTGACCAAATGGCGCCAGGAAGGTGATCTATCAGTGGACCCATTCTGTAAACTGCCTTTTCCAGGATTTTTTCACATTTAATAGAGCTCCACCCACTGAATCGTTCGTAGAAACCATAAATATTTACGTCACACTTCCTTGAAGCTCTAACGAGGGGCTTGAGCTCGAGTCCTATTTTGAATCTCAGCTGGTAACAGCTTAGAAACTTATTCCGTTACCATGTATTACTCATGGAATTCGAAAGTCAAATCAGGGTGACTTTTTTAACGAATGATCACATATTAAAGTCACTCTATTAACTAAAGTTTCTATCTTGTTCTATCTATCACGTGGAAGCAGGGGGAAGGTTGGCGCAGTGGTGACAGCACTCGCCTCCCACCAATGTAGCCCGGATTTAAATCCGCTACACCATATCTGGATTGAGTTTGTAGTTACATCTCTCCCTTGCTCCCTGACGTATTTCTCCGGGTATTCCGGTTTTTCCCTCTCAAAAACTAACATTTTCAAATTCCAATTCGATCTAGAACGCATGAACACGTTTTAACGAATTCTTAAGAACTCCTAAGTGCTTCATGGGCAAACAAATTACTGTCAAACCCGTTAATACAGACACTGAGGGGCTATAAAAAGTGTCCTTATTATAATTAATAGGGGGTCCGTATTAAGCGGGTTAAATTTAGAGAAAATGTAAGGGCTTTCTTTCCCCAGGGGTAAAGCAAACTGTCCCTAATAATGAGGTGTTCCTATAAAGCGGATGTCCTAAAAGCGGAGTTTCACTGTACAATTTACAATTTGCAATTTTTACAGATAAAACGTGCTTGTGATGGGAAAGTCTCCTGTGAGCTTCATGCTTCCAATGACGTTTACGGAAACCCTTGTCCTGTTTGGTCATCCAAGTACATCGAAGTCAAATACATGTGCAGTCCCTAACTAAATAAAAAAGGTACGTTTACTTGACAAATTTTTCTGAGAAGAAATCTCAGTCCTTATCCACAAGAAGTTTCCTTAAGCAATAGACGACACTTTCTATGGGTTTACCGGCGTGATAACCCACGCGGGATGTTGGGAGAACACGAGAAAAGCTTGTAAATCACGAGCCGAAGGCGAGTGATTTACAAGCTTTTCGAGTGTTCTCCCAACATCCCAAGTGGGTTATCACGCCGGTAAACCCATAGAAAGTGTCGTCTATTGCTTTTATAAAATAACTTTTATTAAAATGGAGTCTTTTAGGTAAAAAATATGATTTTAGTACCGTGATCAAGTCATGTCTTCTCTCTAAAGTCATCATAAGCCAATCACGACTCACGATTTAATAGCGCTAAACTTTCTCAAAACTCAGTTCAGTCAAACAACAAACAGCAGCACTTCAAAACACGAGTTTTTGCACTCATTACATGATAACTTATGAAAGCTGTTTTACAGGAAAAGTCAACACATATTCATGCGAACGTACAATGAAAGAATACGTTCATGGTTTGTTTACTACAGAAGTAGAAATTGATTGAACATCAGACTGTACGCAGCTGTATTTTGTTGAGTCGATCCGTAAGAATTTCGTGCTTACAGAGGAAACTGGCAGCTATTGTAATGGAGGACTTCATTCACTTTTTACAAGCCGCAGTGGTTTAAGATCTGTTTCCTGGACTTTATTATGATCAAGAAATGCTGCGGTAACGACGTGGCTGCATTTGCGAAGTTGTCGCATGTAACTTTATATGCACGTACAGCGACCGATGGAAATATGTCAGTGGTGGAGAAAGGTTTCTTTGCCGTAGCCACATATTGGCGTTAATATTTGTCGATTTGTGAAGTCAGGTGGTGTGAGGTAGGTCATGGCATCGATATCATCGAATAATTTGTGCAAATGTTGGAAAAAACTAGCCCGAAACTCTGACATCTTTCATCATCGTTGGCAGCTTGTTTACAACCTCCAGCGGCCGATTTTGTACCATATCTTGATCAGAGATCTCTTTTTGAAACAATTTCTTTGATTAAGGAATTTAATTTTGAAATAAAATAAATCAAGAATGCTAAAACTATCCGTTTTGTTGCTGGTTGGCACATTGTTAAGTTTTCCTAGAGACTTTGTACACCAGAAATTCACACAGTTGTTGTCTTTCTCTGCGATTTGGCATCGTCGTGAAATGTAAACTGTTTTCCAGCTTTGTACTTTATAACTTCTAAAGCTATGGCAGTAGCGAATTGTGACGCTCAGTAATAAAATGTGAAAACCAACGCTTTAATATTAAGAAGGGATAGGTAAGTAACTTGTTCTTTTTTTTAGCCTTTCTAAAATCGTTTGCAGATCAATAGCCGGTTTTGTTTATGGCTCGTGGTCCGGATGCCTTTTTCTATGGGTTTACCGGTATAATAAACCATAGGTTTTTGACCAATCAGATCACGCGTACTATCTCAGTTATTTTATAAACTAGTTTACTTCCTGGTATAGAACTTCTACACTTCTGTTCTTTATGAATTCTGTATGGTATTAACCCTTTAAGCCCTAAGAGTGATCGGCATCAAATTTCTCTTTGTAATATTAATGCTTTGTAAAACAGAGTGTTCATGAGAATTAGGGACATGGTCGCACAAGATGAATTTTCTTGATGTTGCAACAAATGAGAATTCAAATTTTGATCTTAGGGCTTTTTAAGGGTTAATAAGGGTAAGGATAGGAACATGTTGGACACTGGTTCGAGGTATAAATTAACAGCGATTGTTTTTCATCTTTTCTACAGGACATTTGAGCAAGTCAGAATAAAATGGCGTCAAGAAATCAAAGCTGTCACATGCTTTTGTCTTAAAGTCAAGAGAATACCGGCCACTTGTCTGTAATAATTTTTTCTAGGTGAAGCTACTGACTTCGAGGTTCCTTTGAAGACATTCTTTTGCCCCGTCACGCAATAAAATATTGGCGAGTAATGCATAACGAGTCACGAGAAATTTCGCATAGCAGGCAAACTGACTTGGATAAACCGTTGACGACTTAATTTTCCTGTTGGACTACGGTCTGTTGACGGTAACCTAGCGGCGGACCCAGTTGTAAGTGGTGCAGGGCGCACCGTTTAGGACTCTTTTTCGAGATGGAATCTCATTAACATGAGCAAGAACATGTTTTATTTTTTCCAAGCTTGCGAGCGAGCGGAATCCTCCAAATCCTGCAATCTGATTGGTTCCGAGAGCGGGCGGTATTTTACGATTTTGCCCGCTAACCCTGGCGGAATCGTTGGCAGCTTCATTCACAAATTTGTTTGTTGTTTGTGAATGAGCAAAAACCGTCATTTTCAAACCATTTTTCCTTCTAAACTTGCGCTATTAGTAGCATTAGCTAGGGAAAAGTGAATTTTATTATTCAGACAAAAAATCTGAAGGGAGAATCAAGCAAGTAAGCCAGGAAAACCGCTAAAGTATTCAAAGCAAAACAGGTGGCTCGTGATGTCGCTTCACTAGCTTTATAACGCCCTGTAAATACTGCAATCTTGCTTTTATGCACCGTTTATTAGACATTTTTGCTCTGTTTGTAGTTCTGTTCTCCATTTTTTCTGTATGAATCTAAATTTTGCCGTTTTTTTATTGAATTTGCTTCGCTAGTTTTCTACTTATCAGAAAAGGTTGTTGTCAATGATTGCAGTTAGCTTTCGATCTTAAATAAACAACACGAATCACTTTACCAGCAGTCAATTATCGCCGTTTTCATTTCTCTGTTTGTACCTTGTTACTCAAATCGCGTCAATTCAAAACCTTAAAACGGGTATGTGTAATTAGCTCTTTTGTACAGTTTCCATCCCGCTCAATTGAACTAATCTTAAAGCAATTTTTGAATTATTCAGCCGAAGAAAATACTTGCTGTATTTTTTACCCTGGGGCTTTTAATATCAAGCTCGTCGATTCCTTGTTTGACACTCCGATTAGGAATTGTCTAGCAAGACACAAAAACCATTCCTTACTTTAAAAGAGAGCAGTAAGTGCCATAAAATTAATTACCGAGTTAAAAATCATGTTGTAATGTTTGGTACTGGTTGTGGTATCAATTTGGTTTAAGGATGGATTTGACTAACACCTTATGCATGGTGAATACATTTTTCTTTTTTGAGGGCGCTCACTGAATAGAGTTACGGAATCATCAAAATATTCCGTGAAATGGGGTTGAGGTACACAAAAACAACCAGCAAGCAAAAAAAGCCGACATTTTCGAGTTTCAAAAAAACCTCACTTTCAAAATGAGGCCAAGAGCAATATCTTTCACTTTATGAAATGAATTTTATTTGAAGGAGAACAGAAAATGATTGCTGCAATGTATGACAGATTATGGGCACCTAGGAGGATTTGGGCTATTTGTAACTTGGAGCTTCATTTGGCTTGTAACTAGAATGCTGAGATGTGGGGTTTTATGAAGCTAATCAAAGACGAAATGTCACTGTTGTGGTTAAATTTTGTCCTTGGTTTAAATCTTGTTTTCCTTTGTTCTAAACTCATTATCACCCCAAAACAAAGGAAAATAAACATTAAAACAAGGATAAAATTGAACGAAGACATCACTTTTGAATACCATTTAAAAACATAGCACCTTTATGGTATAGAACGATCATAATTATTGGGTGCCAATAAATGGTCGTGAAGTCTTTCCTAAAAGCAACCGAACTCTGCTGTACCTTAAATCACGATTCTTCATGGAATCCTTTGACTTGTAGTTTATTACTTTATAAAGGGACTTCATTGACATTCACTATCTAATTAAGTAACTACCCTAATACAATTTCTACTTATTCTCACTCGTGCGCAAACCTTTACAAAATACTAAAGCACCACCGTTCCTATTGACCCAATCTGTCCCATTTGAGACCGCCTTAAACAATCAATCACAATATCACTGATGATTTCATTTACAACGTCATTCATGTATTACTTCTGTTTCAGTGATTTTACAAAACAAGGTAAAGGGAGTTTACCTTGCGATGCGTCGATAATTGAGATACCATGTTCAATTGTTTATCCTTTCGGCAACGTAATCTTACAATTGCACATCCAAGGTAAGAGTGGGTCCACGGTTCCGTCTCTGGTTACTTATTTTGGTTATGGCTTCGTGCAGAAATTTAAAAAAAATCAATTAAAATAAACGAAATAAACATTAAGCATGCAAAACAATCATCGAGTACAAAAAAATTCTTTCACACAAGGAACGTCTTGAGTAAACGTAAGGTCTAAACTATCTAGTGACATGTTGAAATCTAGTAGAAGCTAGTGGTTAGAATATGATACGCCACCTAGCATACAACGCGTTCAACAGTTGACATTATTTTGTTAACCTGATCCATGAGTCGTTTTCTCCACTTATTCGAAGCTGCATCTACTGGTAGCAAGACCTAACCATTAAAATACTAGCAACTGCTTGACGCGAGTTTGTTTTGTGGCTGGAACACTAAAGTCGATCCAAAAGCATGCAGTTTTCTATTTTACAGAAGTCCTTTTGTGGATATATAACGTTCGTGTTAAGTTCCTTTTCTGCTAATCCTGATCAAATATTTGGGCTACAAGGTCCTCAAATACGCTTCCCTCCTCAGCTGATGTCCCATTTTGTAGCTTGTCCGATGTGTGGGAGTTGTACAAGAGGACTCGTGGCTGTGTAAATCCCTTCGTGCCGTCTGGTCCTGTCGGCTGGCGAATCACCTCCACTCTGTTGAAACAAAAATGAATCAATTTCGAATCAGTAACTTCAGTATCTTAATCAGTATCTTAATTCACACTTACTTAAATAACAACTGAAACATATTTTTAAAGTTACATGCATAATAAGTTAATACCTAACCGGAAAAAAATAAAACTAGTATGCTAGTAACAAACTAGAATCCGAGTACAAGGCTAGCAAACCACTAGGGTTAGCGACAACGCCCCGAAGCACTTGGAATTATCAATACTTTTTTAAATGTTGAAATTTAAGACAGACAGGGCATCCGCAGTTTCTCTTACGATCTCGCTAATGCAACTACAAATAAGTGTGACAACAATATTTTGTTCAACTTTGAAACAAATGTGGAAAAAAGACTCCAAAGAGAATGGAATAACAATGCTCCAAAGAAAGTCACGTGAGTAAATCGTGTCAACAGATTTCGTTTATTCCCCCGCTTTTCTGCAGATTGCCAAGAGGAACTTAGTCCTCCACAACAAGTACATCAATCTGTTGCTCCCGTATTCATTAGACGAAGTCAGGGGCGCCCGACGACCAGTATTCTGGGTTGCCATTGGTTCGAACCACGTAAGGAACCTAACAGCTCACGACATCAAAACTAACGTAAGACGTACTTGCTAAAGCTTCGCATTAAAATGGAAAGGTTTGACTGGGTTGATCGACGGTTGTCTGACGTTAAGATATAAGCATCTGGTCCCTGATTTTTTCTCTCCCACATCACGAATAGAACATCTTTTCAAAAACTATTACTGGTAAAAAAAGGTGCATCTGGGACCATGCACATCCATAATTTCGTAATCTCGTACCCAGATCTCTTGTCGGTATCCTCGCCCATATGAAGTCTGGGTAAGTCTTCGTCGAAAAGAGATCTGGGTAAGAGATTAGTCCAGGCAAACTTCCTGACGCGCTTGTGTGTTTTTCTTACCTGGGTCCAGGACTATCTGTAGCTTCGGAATATGTTCTGCGGATGAGCCTTTCAGGCCGCTGAGATTCGCTGCGAGAAAAAACGAAACAAACACTTACTGGAACGGTTTAAACAAATTGCTAATGGACGAATTCACTAGTGATGAGATAGTTTTTTCATGAGGACAGCTTAAATGAAGGACGCTTTTCTGCTTTCCGAGGGTACCAGCTTACTGAAGCGCTGGCTTCGAGTTGGAGATGAAATCTTTAGCACCCTCGATACCATTTGCTTTCCCATAATACTTCACTGATGATTTTCTTGAATTTTTTTCAACTCAAAACATTTGATACATTTTAAGTGTCTCCATGTTTGATTAGGGACAGAAGTAAAAAGATGGACAGCCACTATATATCTTGCACTAACCACATTTTCCTCAGGCTACAAGCACTCATTTTACGAGTCTTCTGATTCTGGACAACGACAAATTCAACTTCGTCTCCTGGCTGAAGTGGGGAAAAAGGATGATTTTAGAAAAATGTTTAACATTGGTTTAAGCTCATAAAAAGATATATGGCAAAAAGCTAAGAACCTAGATGTAACAATTAAAACAAAGAAGTAACTAATGAAATACATCAAATAATAAAATATCTAGCTGCAACATCAATAAAACAGCATGGAATATGGATAGGAACAAAAAAAAATACAATCAACATTACGTAAACCAAAATATGGTTACCTGTAGTTCCATATCACCCTCCACTTCACTCATGTGAAAGAAGAGATTCTTTCCTTCTTCGTTTTCATAAGCAATGAAACCGAACTGAGCAAAACAAAAACAAAACATAAGCAAATTCTCGCGAGTAATACTTTATTTCCATTACCTACGTTTTGAAGACTTCACTTAGCAACGTCTTACTAAGTTGATAAACCAAGTTCATGTTTTTCAAAATCACGTACTCGTAAATAATAATGCTGAAGGAAAACAAACCTGGCCTTTGACTGACTCAACACGTGCTCGCACGCGTTGACGTACGCTGACTATTTTCATGGCTCTCTCTTTCCCAGTGATTTTATCCACGCCCAGCTGAAAGCGGACCTAAAGTAATGTTAAATGGAAAAAAAGTTAACCTGTTATTTCTGTGCTCAACTAGTTAAAAAAGCGAAACGTAACTCTTGATCTCTGTTTAAAGGGGCTTTGTCATAAAGATATTGATCTCTTTGGTCAATTTTATGCTTAGTCAATACTTGATGCCTGGTTACCCATAAAGAAAAATTCTCCGGACGAGTTATGAAGACGATAGAACATCTTTTATCAGGGAGCCCGTATTTTTGGTAATTTTGGCAGGCACAGCATTTCAACATGTCCTTTGGCCTGGGGCAGTTCTGTACCCTGGAATGTCAATCTTATTCTCGTTGCGCGTGTCTCTGTTGTGAATTTCAGACCTCGTTTTACATTTTTTAGCCAGATAGTCTGGAGCCAATCCCCTTAAGCACTTAAAAAGCCAGTATGCCATCCCTGTAGACAAGCATGGATGCGACAGGTAGACGTTTTAGTTCTCTAAGAACAGGAATGACGTGCTCAAATTTACACGAACGGGTTATGATCCTACAATGTAGCTGCAAAGTTTTAAACATGCTGTAAAACGGACGAACAGTAGTAGAGTTTGCTAAAGAATAGTGCATTTATAACGTTTTACCGTATTAATTTGACATAAACTCAACTATAATAGAACTGACACGATATACAGCCAGGAATATAAAACTAAAGTTCACATAAATAAAAGTGATGTGATTGATATGCATACCTTATCGCCTGGCTGCAGGACTGTCTTTTTATCCACTAAACTTGTGATGCCATACTGAACAGAAAATGACAATTCATCATCCTTCTCTGTTTCCACGCCATTCTCCTCTTCACTATCTGGACCTTCAGATGTGATGCGCTCAATCAACCCAGCATACTCTATTTGCTGCAAAAGTAACATACAAGTATGTAATAAACTGGACTTGCACAGTACAAGTTCAATAATAAAAATTTGAATGCCTTCAGTTTTGACTGGACTGCTATGCTAACTTTACCAGCTTCAGTCTGAAATTCCACGACTTCCTAAATCCTAAAACATTATCCCTGTTAAGTCTATTTCAAATTTGAGTCACAACCCTCCAAGTTATGACCATTTTAATCACCATGGCACCTAGAATTTTGAAGCAGGTGACTTGATTTGTAAAAAAGTCTCCCTAAACCTAAAGAGTTTGTCGCCAAATGGCGACCAAGCAAAAACTTTAACCTGGAGGGTTGAAACGGCTTGGAAACTAAAATTCGATAGCATTTTGTTTTGAATAAGGGTATGGGCATGATTTTCAGTTGAACATGCTTAGCGAGCGTAAAAATCGCATCCAGTCTGAGGATTAATGAGAGAGGGAAAATTTTATATATTTAGGCATGACAAAATTCAAGGGAACATTGGTACTTAGAAATAACATCTCATAGGCATGGAAAAAATGGGTTCATGCCCTCGCAGCCCAAAATTGACCCAGCTAAACTTAGGTCCCAGATCTCTCGCCGGGTTAATAATTCATTCCCAGTTTTAGCTCCTCTGGTTTGGCATGCCGGGCATGCCGATGGTGAAGCCAGTTGGTTTGGCATGCCCGGCATGCCAGGCAAGAAATTGGCATGCCCAGCGAGACTGATTTTGATGTTCGCTTCAGCATCATATCCTGAGAATCACATATAATCGCCAAATATATCTTAGGGAGCTTGAAGTTACAGGTTTCATGCCTGGCAATAAATGCAGATTATAACAAAAAAAGTCATGTTTGTCACAATGTGTGTCACGGGATCGACTGGCAAAACTGAAGACAGAAGCCTGGATTTATAAATAAAAAGCACAACAAAACAACATTATTCATACATAAAATAGAATACTTAACTTGCAATCAAAGATTAATCCTTTTATTTCAAACCGATACTGACATTTCTGGGTCCACATTTAAATTTGATCGCGGAAAAGCGTCTTAAACAATAAGATAACAAATCTTCTCAGTATAAACTTATCCATGCTTAAGTTTTATCGTGTCGGAATGTTTCCCGGTCAACAGCATTAAAAGACTGGTGAAAATGAAGCTTACCAGGTCGTTCAAGTCAGTACGAGAGTACGACGTTAATACTGCAAAGACGTTCTGATTTGGTGAATTTGGACTGCCTTCTCAGAGAGATTTTGCTTAGTTTTTCAGTGCGCTCCTTGTCGGCTATGCGAATCTCGCAAACTGTTTTACTCCTTGCTGACGATAGTCCTTTGAGCAACGTCATCTGCGTCATCCGAAGATACCCCGAGCACGCACGAAATCGGCCGAATTTCCGCAGAAGTGTTTTCGCGGATGACGAGGAATCTAGTTTGTTGTAGCGTGGCAGTTGTGGCGTCACGATGTCGTCATGTCTCTTCGCACTTGTTTGTCTTTTTTTTCTGCGGTGCATGGTTGAGATGTTGGTGAATGCTGGACAAGAAATGGATTCTGCGAGAGACTGTAAGTACAAATTTAGTATTAATTTGGTAAAGAAAAAGCCTGAATATCGAACAAATCCCGTGAATTATCCTTTTGGCATTCAGTTTATCTTGCTGTTGAGCATGCCTAAGAACTCCGGCATAAGTGGTTGTCAACTTGTTCACTTCGGATTGTTTCTGTTTGTATGTCTTGTAATCTTCTTCTGCTGCTAAGAAGACTAGAGAAAACTTCAAAAATAAGAAACCAAAGCTAAAAAAAGTCAGTTCTAATTTTATAGCTCGAGTATAATTATTTTTGGCACCTACGGTCATATTTTTCCACTGTACTGGTAAAGTTACTTATTTTTGCTGCATAGTTTGACTGTTGTTTGAAAGACAATCAAACGGATATTACAATCACTTTTGGAGACAAAATAAAATATCCGTAAATCAAATGCCAAAATCAGATTTGGATTTCGCTTTAAAAAAATGAACATGCTGCGCGTGTCAATGCAAAGTTGTAAACAACTCAATATAAGCAGTCTGTGAATGTGCGTTTAGGTCCACAAAACTAATTTTTCTTTTGGACATCTCATCCAAGCAAAGACTTAAGGCTTACATTGCTTGTCTACGAGTGTACTACAAAATGCTTTGCTACAGTAAGCCTCTGAGAGGCGATTCTGGTAAATTTATAGGACGCTAAAATGCAAATAATTCTAAGCTTAAACAACCTGGCTGGGTCCGACTTTTGAATTACAAAATGTTCAGGTTTGCCGGCTCTACTTTAAATGAACATGGTTTTTGAAATGATTTTGTAATATTTTAACCCGAAAATTATGATTGGGTTATAAAGCTTTTAAAACGGACGAAAACTAAGCTAATAAACATGTTCAATGTAAAAAACTAAGATTTAGTCGCTTTTTCAACTTTGCTTTGTGGGCCGAAAAATTTACCTTTACGCAAAAACAAAAGCAAATAATGAGGCTTTTATTGGACATATTTTCTGAGAATTTTATCTGATCAATTTAATGTCACTAGCATTGTTTTCGTATAGGAATTTTCCTAATTAAATGAGCTTTTAATTTAATAATTTTGATACTCTATAAACTTCTCATTTGATAGCCTCACTTTTTTATACACCGATTGAGAAACAAATTCGCTCTCGTTAAATCCTATTTTATGACCTATTTATTAGAACTCTAGGTAACATACGAAATGATGTAACCGGACAGGCTTTAACCTTTGGTCCTAATTTATTTTTTCTTCGCAACCCCTAATCAGTTGACGGGCCGTGAAAGAATATCGCCACAAAAAGATGCGAAAAAGTTTTCGCTGAGTTTCCTTTACATATTCCGGCTTTATATGGGTCTACACCCCAATTGCCTGCTTAAAAATGAAACTGTTGTTCAATTAAGTGTCAGTCAAACTCGGTATAATCTTGACTTGCAAATCCAAATGCAAAGGTTTATTTCGCAGTAGAAAAGCGTGTAAACATCATCGAACAGCGCAATGTAAATTGGCTAATGTGAAACCACGTTTCTTTCACTTTATTTACCATGTATTTATCTCAATTGCACACTCTTGTGAAATTAGCCTCAGACAATTAGTTGCGACCTTTAACAGACTCAACAAGCCAGTATGAAAATATGTTAAGAGAAGCTGAGCTCTACATGTTCTATTTCTTTTTTTCATATTGCCCTTGCATGTGTTAACATTCCATTTCTTTTTTGTTACAGGTAACTTCCAGACATGACGAGGAGATAATTACTTTTCTAGAGAGCAATTCTTTGATACTGTCAGTTATTACTGACTTACTTTGAGTTAAAAACAAAGAACACAGACACTGGTAATGACACAAAAACATTAATCCCTGGCAAGCCTACAAAACAAGAAAGAGGAACTCAGACTCCTTATCAAAATGTGAAACAAGATAAAAACAGCTTTTCTAACGTAGGGAAAATTGCGTTAGAGAGATTTGTAATTGCAACGTTATATTCAAGCACATTGCAATGTCAAACATCATAATTTACTGAATAATGAACAGTGATTTTGGGGCTAATAGCTCAGTTTGTAATGAACTTTGAAAGATATTCTATAACCTTGTATTTTTAAAAGCTTTCATGGAACATAGATGCATTTTATTATACAATGAAAATAGTCTCTGTCTCTCTTTTTACTGATTTCAGTCAATTCCATTTTATTCGCAATGTGAAATGGGAATCCTATTAAAGACTCATTAAAAGACCGGGGGTGAGCAGTTTTTACAATCCCCCAACAGGTCATCTCCACGATGACGCTGTTTTATTACTACGGCAGAATCCCTCAGGGTTTTTCTTTCTTGTGAAAATTAGAGCTTTTGTTATTTAAACTTCGCTGGGACAACCAAATCTATGAAAATGAAAGGAATAGCAATGACGTCATCGTGTAACCGTACATCAAACGATAAGCACTGTGATCTGTTTAGTTTTTTTTTTTTTAGCCAGGCTTAAAATATCTGTAGATTCAAGGAATTATAACCTGTGCGTTGAGAGCATGCCAGAGACCGATTTTGGCATGCCCGGCATGACCCAGATTATGGCACGCCCGGCAAGCCAGAGAATTTGGCATGCCGGGCATGCCAGAAAATTTGGCATGCCCGGCATGCCGGAGATTTTGCTGGCTATGAGTTACTTATTACTAGAACCTAGGCTTCTCGCGGCATGGGTGAGAAGGTCACGGAACCTCAAATTATGCTTACAGGGCATGCGAAATTCTGTTGCATGCCAATTTCAATGCAAAACCACTCTGGGGCCACCCCCTCTATTACCAGTGAGCAAATCATTGACGATAGGCATGGGAAAAATCCTTGCATGCTAACCAACATTGAAAACGTAGCAGAAATGTCCTCAGTTGCTGAGTCATGCCCTAGGGGAGGCTTTAAAATACAGAATTTCCAGACATGGATGAGGGAATTTTCCGTAAACAGCATGTGATCATGCCTGCTAGGACGTATTGCCTCCATATTGCCCCTTTTTACAGCTAGCTAGGCTCATTTTTAGGTTCCATGGCCTGAAATGACGATAAATTCATGCCCTAAATGTAAAAAGTCCAAAAACATCCTCGAAATTTTAGTTTCCAAGCCGTTTTGAGTCACCAAATTTATTGATGTGTCAAAGGGTTAAACAGCATCATACTCATACACTGCCCCATATTCAATTTCATTTTCTTGCTAAGAAGTTTTAAAGTCAAGTCTGTCCTAAATTGTCTTGCCTGAAGTTAACTAGTTAAAAACTGATGCCCTACATCTGTACATGGTGCACATAACTGCCTTCTTTTTTCTATTTCTTGCTTCCGAAGAACAACAAATACACATATTTACTGTCTACAGCTATGCAGACAAGTCTCAGTAACTTTGTTTTGTCATAAGCTGAAGTTCAGGGACTAGTTGTTAGAAAGGTGGATAATGCTATCTACTGGATAGCGCAAGTGGTTTTCCATTACACTTATCCACTGGATAGAAATTTATCCAACGTTCCAACAACCGAGGCCAGACCAGGAAAAGGTTTAGAAAAGCACTTTACTCACCTGTGGATCAGCCCTTCTTAGAGACCTGAGCACTCGTCCAATGTAAACTTCTGGTAGAATATCCTCCCGAACAATTGTCCCCTGCGGCAGCTTAACAACCCTTTCTGCACTGACTTTGCTATTTTTACATTTGATTGTATATTCCATCTCATCACCAAGTATCAGCTCGTTTGGATCACCATCATATTCACTGTAATGGAGGTGGAAATTTGACTGTGGAGATTTCTCAAGAGCTTTAGACCTTCCCACGGTTTTTTTTTTTTCAGCCTTTGACATGGATGAGTTAGTGAAAATCTGTCAACTCCACTATAAAGAGCGCAGATTAAATTAATAAAATTACCAAGTTTGAAGGTGATTTGTTCGAAACTAACAAAGATATAGCTTCTCAAAGTTGCAAAATTTTACAGACGTTTGTGTGGTGGGGGGCACAAACTTGCCCACCATTTAAATGTCAGTAAATTTTCTCAAAGCTATATAATATCTTTGCTCGTTTGAGACATATCACTTTCAAACTTAGCAGGGTTGTCATTAAGAGCTGGAGGTACTCAGAGAGTGGCCCCCGGCTACTTTTATTGGAAAATAGAACAAAAATCCCTAGCCGTTTGATTCCCCGCCTACTTGTTGTATTTACCTGGCAACTTGAAATCTTAGTGACAACCCTGAACTTAGCAATTTCACTCATTTTTGTCCATGTCAAAAGTTGAAAAAACCGTGAAAGGGTCTATTGAATTATTTAATGAGTCTATTTTAAGGCAGTTACCAAAAGTCAGACCCGGCTGGCCAGTTAAAAAACTTATAGTGACAACATGAAACAACACATAACTTACTGTCAATTAGAAATAATTTGTTTGCAATAAATTTTCTTCCAAACAGTAGACGTCTCCAGACCACTCCCTAAAACCCCAAAGATTTGCATTTTGGGGGTTGCTTAGAGGTTAACTGCAGCTGTTGAAAAAATTACGGCTTACAAGACAGTAGAATAATTCTAAGGCACGTTTATATGCCAAATATTGTTTAATTTATTGACTTACAAAGTAGTTTTGGTTTCATTTATTAATCAATTAAATTATCTATTTATTTTTAGTGCACATCTGATACATACCTGTAGTGAAAAAACACTTCCTTGTCATGTTCTGATGTTTCCAAAAAGCCAAAGTTTTCCTTTAGTGTAGCAACAAATCCCTTAAAAAATTAACGTTGTCTGGCAGTCAATTGACATGATTGACAAATCAACTCTGTTAATGTTAATGAAACACATGGCCCCAAAACTCTAATGACAAAAACTTTTGAGTAGGATTTGTTAGCCACAATCATATTCACAATCATCATGTGCAAGGGTCTATTAAAAGAACATGACTTCTCTGTTAAATTACAGTAGCTGGTTGGTAGGAAAAAAAAAGAAAATTCATGTCATACTGGGGTTTTTCTTCAGTGAAAATATAACCCTTCAAGCCCCAGTATCCATAATATGCAAATTCTTCAGGCTGATCTCACAATCTTATTCCTTAAAGCAATAATTGATAGAATTTGAGAAGGATCAAAGCAGTTTTCCTTTGGTGATTACTTCATCAAAACTCCCAACCTTTCTTGAGGGTGTATGGTTAAAATAATTGTTTTGGACAAGATTGGAGTAGGTCACTCTCAGGAAATTGGGACCCATTGACTTGATTATAAATGGACGTGTTCTCATAAACATAACAAGCTAAATTACAGTAACTACAAGTAAGACACATTTTATCTCTGTTGATAAAATATTATTATCTTACCTTGTGTCTTACTTCACTGTTTCTCTTCACAACAGTCACATTCACAGCCTTCCTGAAACCAGTTCTTTGACTTTGAGACAGATTGAACTCCACCTTAGAAACATTAAGAAAACAACATTTCATTCAAATTAATTTAGTGTATTCCTTAGGTACAGCTGTTAAACCACTACAATGCCAATGGAATTAGAATCCATGCTTAAGTCTTTATCTAGCTCTACTTAATTTATGCAGATTTAAAGTACTTCACTCACTTTGAACTCTCACGTATTTAGTTTCCAATTCTTTAGCTAACGGCATAATGAGGTCACCGAAACATCAGAACATTACCTAGTTAGTTTTTGCATGTTTATTTTTCTCTAAATCACTGTCAATAATTTTGTAAATAGTCATAGCTTATTACCATGTCTCCAAACTGTGTTGCCCCTCTCAAATCAAAGCTGTTGATTTCAAATGGCAGAGTTTCTCTTGCTCCATTGATGCAGCAACTGATTAGGCCAGACTCACTCTCTCTACAAAACAATTTGACAACACTTTTTTTGCAGTAGTGTTGGTAAAGTTATAGAACATGTATAATTATCAACTATTTAAGGAAGCATCAAGCTCTTAGCTACATTATTACAATCTGTAAAACAAAGTGTACTCTTAGCAAAAATTCCCTGGAAGTTTAAATTATTTGGCTTTAGCCAACAGAACAGGGAGACAACCTCAAATAATGGAAAAGGAAGGGGAAAAAAAGGAGAAAAGATGACAAAGACATTAAATGTGGCATTTACTCCACCCTGGTCAACTGAAATGTTTTTGTTTGGTAGCAAATTGAGGGGAAATGCGTTAGGAGAGGCACTGTCATTGTGGTTAAGGGACAGAACTTTTAAAGTGCCCATCACCTAAAATTTTTTATTTTCTTATCTGAAACTATACCTTATTAAAATAACTTGTGCGAAAAAATTTTGTGATTTGAACAAAACCCGATTTTTTTACAATTTTTTGAAAACGTTCAAATTTGCCACCATTTTACACACCATTCGTCTTAGTCTTCTCTCGGAGTATGACGTACTTTAAGGAACACGTGACCTTATCGACAGGAAAACATTAAGAGTTCTGATAGGTTTTTCTTTTTCAGAAAAACTTTCTTCTTACGAAGACATTGTGATTCAATCCTTACTTGAAATTTATCTTTTTTGTGTACAGCCGGTGAAGGCAAGGTAATGCGAGTTCCTTAATTTATGTCACATGACGTCATATGTGAGCTTGCTAGTTTGCATGATCAGCAGCGCGAGTGTACTGCAAAAATGTAGACTTCAAAAAATTGTAAAAAAATCGGCTTTTGTTCAAATCGCAAAATTTTTTCGCAGAAGTTATTTTAATAAGGTATAGTTTCAGAAAAGAAAATCAAAAATTTTAGGTGATGGACACTTTAAGGAGTGGTTAAAGCTGGTTCAAGTGGTTTTCATCAAATACATGTTATGTGTCTGATTTAGTAAAGCAAGATTACAGCTGTACTACAGAATATAACTCACCTATTGCTATCCTTTCTGGGACTGCGGCTGCTATAACATGGCTCTCGTTCAACATAACCTTTATATATTTGGGATGATACACTCTGTAAAAGAATATATTGAATTAAATTCATTCAAATTTAAGGGTACATGTCTTGGTATGTTACAGTATTGGCAGCAATCTTAAATGCAACTTTGTTTCAACTTACCTCCATCTGAATGGTCCCTTTGGGTACAACTCTTACTCTGATAGCATGCAGACGTTTAATAGCAGACATGTCCTAACAAACACAGCAAAATGCACTAAGTAGGTTGATAAATTGGGCACTTGTTCAAGTAATCATGGTTATTACATGAATGGAACACTTTTAAAATAAACACGTTTGTGCCACTAGAGAAGAAAAACTCTAGATGTTAAGAAACATGCATAACCAACCTCTGAAATTGCAAATTCCACTTCATCACCAACTTGAATCTGGTGTGCCTATCAAGAGAGTTTAAAAATACTATGCAAAGACATTCACTTTTAACTTACAATTTTTATATTAAATACTTTACTGCAAATAACTGAACACTGACTCCAGGCATAAAAATAGGCCATTTTGTTAAACTTGGTCACATCAAACCCTTCATTACAACAAAAATATTAGTGAATTTGATGTAAAACAACCAGTAATGCACCTATCAATGTAAATCCCGTGGGGGGGGAGTGCGGGCAAGGGGAGGGGATTTGATGCCTGAGACTATCCCGCTGTCGGGCTTTTGATCATGTGAAGCGACCCCGGGGTCGGGACATTTGACTTTGACCGACAGAAGCCTGGTATTCCTGGTATCAGTTCAGAAGCGGTTACCAGGTCCGTTCCTCGAGGCTTTCTGAACGTCACGCTGTTGGAGAAAGGTATGAAGTTTTCATTTGTTTTAATCGCCATAATCCGATACTTTAAACTGTCTATAATGTCTATTGTAAGAAAGTTTTTATCTTCAAGTTCCCATCTGATTGTAAAACTCGATTGAAATCGAATTCCACCATGAAAGTCAGAGGATTTTTTTCGAGTCACTGATCCGACATGTTGACCAGATGTTATAAAGCATTTTACGTTTCATTAATATTATTATAGCAAGGTCAGTCTTCCTTGAGTGATTTTGTTGTTCAAAATAAGAAATGCTAGTGGAGAGAGAAAATACTTAATTACAGCAAGTAACTTAACGGAGCTTACGTTAACCTTAAATAAAAGTAGTAAGATTGTACTTTTGAAATGTTTCTTTATTCGTTTTATATAGTATTATAGTATTGTTTGTTTAGATTTTTTCCCCTGGGGTGGGGTCTCTTTTGACACTTTTGATTGATCTTTCGTTTCCCACCCTGGGGAATTTGATCAAAAAATTTTAAAATTTGTCAAATCCCCACCCCTTGCCCGCACTCCCCCCCCACGGGGTTTACATTGATAGGTGCATAAGATTACATAGAAATTTTAACGATTTCAAATTAGGAAGACTTTCTTGGGAAAACAATTATTATTCTGGCAATAATGTAGGTCATGGGAGAGACAAACATTGCATAGACTCACAGTTAAATATGCAGTGTAGGTCTTGTCAGAGGAAAAAACACTTACACCTTAGACTGGGTTTGAAAATGTTAACGCCACTAAGCAAAATTAATACCACGCCCTATAATTACCTGCGGTCACAAGTACAAACCCACAACACTCATTACTGATATCCAAAATACTTGCGGAGCCCCATAGTTAATAAACATAAATATAAATCCATACTACAATTCAACAGTCAGTCGCAAAAATTAATATTAGTATAAGAGCTTGTCTCTTACGGAGTCAAGAAGTTCACTGTAGTGGAAGAACATCCGAGCATCTCTGTCACAGCATTTTATAAAACCAAATCCTTCCTTTAATGACACCACAACACCCTAGGAATACACACATCCAACATGTGGTCAATAGTATAGAAATAGTAAGAAATCTTGGACCATTACCTGTAAATCGATGGAAAATTTAATAATTACGGACTTAATTAACTTTTAAGTAAGTACCATTTCTCTAATTTCTCCTTCATCTGCTTCTGCTACATCAACCAAGCTGATATTTGCAGCTCTTTTAAGTGAGTCGCGGCGATCTAAATAATAAGACAGAAAAAAAAATTGTCAGAGAACCCATAATGTACAATAGCTAGACATTTACTGGCAAAAAATGTATCATTTTTAACCACAAACTAATGAATCAACAAAGTGATACAACAGTTACTGAAGACTAATCCAGCAGCTACTGAGTCTGATGTGCAAAAACCAACTTCATATTATGTTAAAAAAAAATACCACCCATGGGCGCTTAAGAGGTAAGAAGGGCTAGTGCGAAGCTAAAAAACAAAAGCATAAGTATAGATTCAACATTTTCCCAAACTATGGCTAATCACCCAAACGGCAATAATAACATTGCTTAAAATAGCTATTTTGATTGAGACATGGGTCCCAGGAGTTTATAACCCACCTACTGCAATATTGAATTCCACCAAGTCTCCAGCCCTCAAGGAAAAGTCTCCTTGCAAGTCTCTCTCAGAGAAAACAATCTCCTCCTCGATATCTTCATTATCAGGCAGAGTGTAGACAATTTTTCCATGTAATGGATCATGCTGCCTCTTTGCGGCAGATTTACTCAAGGGCCGGTCCACAGTTCCCTGATATCTAACACTGCTGACATCTTCAAATTTCACTGTGCCTTCAGGTAACTTTTCCACACGTACAGCAACTTCCTTACCCTGCAAGACAGTTAATGTTATTTTTGACAAGAGCCACTTTTTAAATTTTTATAGATATTTTTGGGGGACAGTGTAAAATAAAACAATCTGTAATTCAATTGATGTTCACCTTTTGTTGAATAAATAGATAATGATGATGAACACAATTCATAAAGACAGAGATGAAAATAATCACTGGACAATAACTGACTACAACTGACTCATAAACAAGTTAATCATAACAGCAGTTGCACATGACATCCAAAAAAAGCTAACACCAGGAATTATCATTTTTGGTTGCAGTGAATAGCCAGCAGTAATCAGTCTACCTGTGAGTCCTTCACCTACAATGCAATATTTTCATTTACGACGCATAAGGCTTCCTTGATTGAATCCAACCACATTTTTGTTTTGTTTGACAAAAATGGAGTCAAAATTATTTGCAGTTCTTATAGAAATGTTCTCCTCATTGAATATTGTTTTTTATTACTGATTGCATTAATTTTACTTGAGCACATTTTATTTACATGTATAATATAAAGAGATAATTTGCTTTGATAATTATTATTAGATTAATTCTAATACATGTACGTTTCTGTCACATACATTTCTTGTTTGTATTCCAAACTCAACATCATCTCCCAACATGAGTTCAGTAACATTTCCACTGAATTCACTGTAATGGAAAAAAATCTGCAAGAAACAAAAAAACATTAATCCTGTTTTGGATCATGCTATTAAAGTCAAAAAACATCTTTTATTAGAACAAAATACCAAAGAAATAGAAAGGACATTAGCATCATCAAATTAAACATCTCTGACTTTCACAAAGTCATCATTCCGTCGACTTAGTCCATGGAAACACTAAAAAAAACACTCATTTATATACTAATATTATTAATCAATGGAAACACTAAAAAAAAAGCTCATTTATATACTTATATTATCAATCAAAGCTGTTCTCTGTACAACTAATTTGATGCTTGAAAATAGGCTGAAATTGACGTCTATGTCATAGTTAATTTTTTATCTCAGGTACAGCTGTAATTATTTTTGTTTTTCTTTTGTTTTTGGGTATGGTAATGTAGGCTAATGAAGTTAAAATAAAATAAAAACAAAAACTACTTGAGATAAAAAACTACAACACATCTACAAATCATCATATTCGGTGTACTGTAGCACTGGGAACATCCACATGCTCTCAACTGAAGATTTTTTTTATCTTCAAGAAGGTTATTACAACACAAAGTTACTACTAAAGTGTCTGCATCAGCGAGGTTAACTTTCTACATGTATGAGAATCTGTTCCTCGGGCAAGAAACAAGTGTCTGTTGTCCACATAAATGGGTGTCCATATTAAATGGGTTTAATTTAGAAAAAATGTAACAGCTTTCCCCAGGGACAAAAAAATTCTCTGTAATAACGAGGTGTCCCTACAGCAGAGTTTGACTGTATTTATTGAAAATTGGATTGACTTTCACGAATCTCACCTCACTGACTTTGTCTGCCCTCTCAATAAATCCAAATGACTCTTTCATTGATGAAACAACTCCCTTTCAAAAGAAAAAAACATCAATGAGACAGGACTAAAGATAACACAGCAACTGATGAATATCCACACATACAAAACTAGATTTGAGGAATGTCAAACATTAATAAATTAGTTAAAGTTTCCAACTTTAAAGCAAGGCTTAAAATTTAAATTATTCTTTAAGTTAAGAACAATAAGCTCATTAAAAAGCATAAAATCTAGTGCATCATAAAAACTTTTCAGCTTTAATAATCATGAAAGATCTAAAAACAATAAATGCACAAAGTTGTACTGAATGGAGAGTGATTCCTACAATTTAAGATCCTTTCCTGTCCCTAAAACAAAGTGCACGAGCCTTAAGGACAAGCCCTTTGCTCATGTCGGCCCCTCACTATGGGACACTCTTCCTTTAGGGATGGAAAACTTATGGGGGCGGGCAGGCGAAGTACAAAAAAACTATTTGCGCAAGGGAAAATTAAATGAAAAAAAAATTCATGCACGCCAATTAATCAAAAAAAAATACTCATTCTACAGCCTAAAAAAATTCTTACAAGGAATTTGATGACAAAAAAAATTCCTGTGGCTCGAAAATTCTCCCCCACCCCCCCATAACTTTTCTAATGGTCCATCCCTTAGCTAACATTAAGTATCCAGGCTGTTCAGGGTTTTAAGCAGGTTCTACAGACTTTTGTTAATTAGTTTCTACAGTGAATGCAGTGTTTTATTTTCATTTTCTATGAGTATAATGTTTGTCATGTGTTAGTGTTTGTCAGCTTTTATTAGTGCTTTAGAATAATAATTACGTATATAGTTTTAGCACTGACTAAATAAAGTATCTTTAAAAAAAATTTAGTTACATTTCTGTAAAAGTATTTCTTCTACTTGTTCAGGATTACCAGACAGGGTTTTTTTCTGACCCCTGAGTCATACAAATGTACTGGTCTGTGCATGTACAGTATATTTTGTGGCACTCTACTCACATGTTACTTGTATCATTTATTATTTTTTTCTTTGTTTACCTGGCACTTCTCAGTTTCTGCTGCTTCCAAAAGGGCTAACTCACGAGCTCTGACAACCCCTGTTCTATTATAACACAGAAAATGTTAGAGTACTCCTCAATCAGATACCATTTTCAGAAAAACCTAAATACCAACTGCAAGTATTAACAGCACTGTTTTAAAAAATCTAAACTTGCTTCACTGATGCATTTTCAAGACGCATTTTTCCTACAGTAGATGTGCATCTTTTCCTAAGGTTTCAGGAAAATTATCTGTAAGCAACCAAAGATGAAAGAAAAGAAAGAAAAGAAAAACATTCCAGCACAGCAAGCTTTTAAACACAACTATAAGAGTATGAGTACAGTTCACTTTTGTTTGAGCTGTATGAACAAACTTTTGGTAGGCAGATGGTACACAAGCCTGCACAGACTACATCCGCGATGCAGGCTAAAGGTACAGAGTCAACCTTAACGTTTAACCCTTTCAACTCTCACATTTCTCACATACTGTTCCCCATGCGATCTCTACGGTTCTCATGAAAAGAACTTATTGCTTGACAAAACCTGACAAAACTAATTTTATCATTACCTCTTGTCTGTAGCTACATAAAATTCAACTTTATCTCCCTTGTGCAGGGGAGTACCAGAAGTACAAACATCACTTGGGGAGAATGATAGATAGAAATATTCCTGAAAAAAGAAAATTGTACTTTAAATGACTTGTAATCAACATCGTGATAAACAAAATAAAGCCTTTGTAGCACAACCAACAATCAGTCAATTTGACAGCATTGCAATACAATGTACATTTTTATTATTCCCAAGTAGCTGGTATCATATACTTTGAGAAGTAATTTGAATGTAGGACTCAAAATGGTGTCATTGTGGGCATACAGTGGCAATTCTTTTTTTTTAGCTACATTGCATCCTTTCCGAGTAAAACACATTTTGAATTCAGTAGGTGCAATCAAGGCAAAGAGGGCTAATTAACGTAACCATGAAAGAAAAGTAGTATTGCCGCCATTTTGGAATAAGGTGTACGTGTATGTATACAGAGGAGACTGCGCTACTGGACGTCTCAAAAAACTTATCTAACAAAAATTATGCTAATTTCTGATGGTCAGAAAGATGCCAAACCCATTAAGCAGCCATTTGCTGTGATTCCAAATACAATTTTCAGACTTACACAGAAATGTAAGTTCCTAGTGATTCTACTTACCCCATTTCTCTCATAGCTGACTCGACCCATTTCAGGATCAATAAATCCATTTGAAGGCTGTAATTAAAAGAAACAAATAAAGAAAAAAACAAACACAAAGAATACAGTATATTCCACGAGCAAGAAAGGTAAAAGTTTATGGCAAAATAAAAATTGTCTTTTATTCACTTAATATCAACTATGTGATATAGTGAAGCAAAATATTTATATAATCACATAATATCATACTCACAGATTTAACAGGGTTCTTATATGATAGTTTAGGTTCAGCATCTATGATTCCAACCACTTTGTCTTCACTTCGAATCTAAATCCAAACAACACATATGATGATGATGAATGGATACAAAGGAAAATGAAAGCCATTAACCATTACACTGCATGGTACACAAAGCGAGCAGAACCTACTTTTGACTTTTTGAGCAAAGGAGCTGAAAAGGAGGCACTCCCTAAATAAACCATTTTACAGTTATAAGTGAAAAAAAGGCTGGAGTTGATCTTTTTTTGATACAAACCCTCACACTCTATTATTTAAATAATGTTGTTCTTATGCTGACTAGTATTTTCTATGCACAATTTCCATAAGAAAAAGAAAGAGGTTTGGATTCAAAAAAGGTCAACCTTAGCCTCATGTCCAGTCAAAGGCTAGGATACTATGCCCACAACTGTAAAATGGTCCATTGCATCAAACCTTTTGAATTCCAAGGTTCTAGATTAGTCAATCTTGCTCTTTCTCATTAAAACTAGTTTTCTGAGTGCCAACAGCAGTTATTGCTAAATCAATGGTCATAACTGTGCTCGCTTTACCAAGCACACTGCTGTATATCAGGCCTGGGTTCAAAACTTTATTCCAGCAATGAGTAGCTCATACTCAGCTAAGATTTTACTTGATTCATGCAGAGTCTTTCAAAGAGTGGGCCGGAATCAAACAAGTGAAGGAAAGGCTCTGCTGGCAGGCTGTGTGGAGCATTACAAAACTAGTAAAAATAGATGCCAAACATTCTGACCAAAAGGGGTGATATGGGCAATTTCCAAGAGAATGTTGTTAGCTATAACGATTTTATTTCAAAAATTACTCTTTTAATCTGTCAATTATAAAGTCAAAAGTGAAGACATGTAAAATATTTCTTACTTCTAATCTTGCATCAGATCGGGAAAATACTACAGAGTGACATTTTCTTCAGCATGCAACATAAAATTAAATTCATTTCTAAAATTTTTGAACTCCTGAACTTTTAGGAGTGAAATATTTTCATGCATGTTTTAACTAAAGGAAAAGAGCTGTAAATAATTATTAGTTGATACCAGTGACATACCTCGAAGGACACAGATCCCGCTTCAAGCCTCACCACACGACAGGCAATTGGTTTGCCTGTTCTTTGATCTGAAGAAATCTCAAACTCCATTTCATCTAACAAAGTCAAACAGCAGAAAAAGGCTCATTACAAATGTACATAACTATTCTTTCAATATTATTTTTTTCAGTTCAAAGACGGTATTAAAACCCCAGTTTAAGAAAAAAATAGAGCCAAAGAGCCACAGGGAAGTGCAGAGAAGAGTACACTCAGTATAAGCGCTACAGCCCTGACCGATGGGCTGTTTTAGGGTGAAGACAAAAATTTATTTCAATGCTATATATGTAGATATAAACAACCTTCCAAAAGTTCAGGTAAGACTAGACTACATTATTATGTGAAGCAAACAAAACATAAATGTCCTAACCTCCAATATTCAGGTCCTCAGGGTCTTCATTAATTTGACTATAATGGAAGAAAATCCGCAGGTCTCTCTCACAACACTGAATAAAGCCATATGTGGGCTGCAACAATGAACCAACAAAATTAGTTAATGGAGTAGCATATACATTGTACAGTGCAATGCAAGAGTGCTGTCCAATAGCCCCAGGCAAGGGCAGCAAGCCGTCAGACTGGAATGTTTAGATTAAAAGCTTTGCAAAGGGCAAGCAACATTTGTGTAATAAAGTAATTAATAATAAGGGGGGTTGGTAGGTCTGTGCAACTGTTCCGGGCTACATGCAGCAAACATCAGCTAAAGGGCAAGCAATTTTTTAAATTTAATCTAGCCCTAAGCAAAGGATTGTGAATAAATGTACACTCCCAATATCCATGGCATAGTTGACCTGACAATTACCTCACACACAAATTCTCACAGCCAGCAATTTTGCTGGCAGCCTAAAAATATGTTGGTGATTTTCTTAACACTTAATTTCAACACTGATTTTAACAACATAACAAAGGGCTCCACTGTACAAGTACAGTGAACGTATGTTGTGGTTAAACTTATCACCAACAGATGAGCTTGGGCACTGGTGCCTACAAAGTTGGTGGAGCCGGGCAATGCTCTAGCACAAGGAAGGAGGTATAAACCATGGCAACCCTGCGAGGGGCCCCCACCAGGCACTGTCACAATGAACTGGTCAGTGGAATCCTTACCAACCAATATGTTTTTTTCCCTCACCTGGCCCTGAACTAAAGAGGGAGGGAGGGCTGGAAAAAAACACTGCACAAAAATTGGCAAGCAAGCAACAAGGCTCTAGCGCACACACTTTGCGAAGAACTGCAAGCAAGCAATTGCTTATACAAGTCACAAGGTGCCCCTGCTAAAAGCATCAGGCTGGCCACCCCCAGCACTGTTGGGAAAACTGCTGACCAGCATTGCTGTGAGGTTGACTTTGCCTAAAGTACATTTAGCCACATTTAAATTATTTTTATTCTTTTTTTGTTTCGAACATTGAATCAATAGCAAACTAAAACATGAGTACATGTACATAGTATGCAAGAGAATACTTAGTTCTCTGACAACGTTATCAAAAATGTACATGTGGTGACATTTCTTACCAAGAGTTTCTCTACTACACCAGTTTCTCTGGATCTGAGGGTAAAAGTAACACACAAAGTAAATCTTGACAATAACATCTGCTTAGAAAAACAGAGGTTGGATGCCTGAGACATCCAGAAACTTGTACTACTAGTGGCCAGCTTTCAGATAAAGACTACCATCGGGGCAGCACTAGCAGGCACCCATCACACTCATAAACAGTGGTAATAGTGAAGAAAGAAAGAAGATGATTGTCTATGAGAAGAAGACCCCTGCAAGCACACTCAAGGGAAAAAACACTGACGGTCATGAAACACACACTGAAAGTTGCTAAATGCTACAGTACACTTTGGTCCAAGGGCACATGAAAGCATGGCACAAGACTAAAGCTACTTGTGGTTAACTCTTTTAAACTGTATTTAATCACACTATGCACATTATTATGTTCAAAGTATAACTATACTGTACAAGTATATAAATGTTCTGTAGATATAGGAAAAACACATAGCGGAATCTACATGAAGATGTATCAGAACCTCTCACGTGCTTGAATCCTGACAATGATATAACATTATAAAACCTACAGAAAACTTTAAGAGCAAACATTGTTTCAAAAAAGCTAACCCCCTCCCCCCCCCCCTTCCACCCCCCCCAAAAAAACTGCATAATGTACAGTGTTTTCAGCTTAGGCATACATCTAGGATAAAAACTTACCCAGAATGACTGGAGAAAGAATTTCCATCATAGGAAAATGCTCTTCCTCTGTTATGATTGCCAATGTAATAATCACGCCCACTTAAGTCGTATGGACTTGTCCTTGTGCGATCTCGACGATCAGAACCCTGCAACAACAGTACATATATCTTACTCTTATTCAGGATGCTTACCTGAAGCTAACTACCCTTTTAAGTTTGGGAGGTTCCTGATCTTAATAATTTTGTTCTCAAGCTTCAAAAAATTACACTGGGCCAGGATGAGTGTTGAAACTCTTAAACTTCAACTTCTCAACCTTATTGGAATAAATAATTAATAATTACAAATGTACAAGACAAAGAGACTGGTCCACAAGGAACATCTGCTAATCTGGGCCAAACAGCCACACACACACACAGACACAAATGTAAATTACAATGAGAATAATCAATATAAATTTACTAAAATTACTAAAGGAGACCTAACTACTTAGAGAAATTTGGTAGTTTGCATAAGAGAAGACACATTACAAGTTCAGTTTCAGTAAGTTTGAATGAAGCAACTAACGTCAGTTCTATTTATACGTTTTCAGAGCAGATGTAATTTGGAAAATATCAGTACAGTCATCATGTTTCTTAAGATGTGGATTTTGCTCTAATCAAACATATCAACCTCTCAACAGCAGCCACCTTGGGAACAGAAGAAAATGGCCATTGTGGAGAGGTTTAAATAAGAGTCAACAAATGGACTGTCTAGAGAGATAAATGTAGCAACAAAAGTAGTTTCAAATAACCCGGGATAGGCAGTCTGCAGGGCAAGAATGTTTTTTATTACAAGTTGCCCAAAGGGCAAGAAACCTTTCTTGAGGGAAAGTTTAATGCTGGTGAAAATAGGCCTGTTCTGAGCTACTAAAAATAATGTCAGCACAGCTTGACCAAAGGACAAGAATTCTTTAAATTATCTCTGTCCCCTTGTCTGTTTTCAATATTCTGAAGTTTTTAAATTTTATTAATTTATCTGTGGTAGATACTGGTACATACGTGTATTTGTATGTGTCTATTTCAGGCTCACAAAATGTTGTGTTAAAATAAAGATGATTGATTGACTAATTGATGTCATTTACCTACAGTAAACAAAATGCATATGCTAGTTATTTTCCATGATCTTTATGAAATCACCATGTACAGGTAACTTGAAGCTTACCTTCCAAGTATCTGTTGCCATCTCCAGAAATATTTAACACAGTTTGCAAAATGAAAAACAATACAAATCCTTTGATATCTCTTTTTAAAACGGCTTTTCTAAACAACAAATTCTAATAATACAAAAACGCTTTGAGAACATTAATTTGGGCCTGAAACTCCAGTCACCAATTTTTCCTGAAGAATAAAAAGACAAAGCAGGAGCTTAATAAAATAGTATCATATGGAAAAAGTTATAATTTTGAGATTATTAACATTCTCAACATTAAAAAATTCACTCCTTATTCTGCATTGATATTAAAGTCCCCCTTGCCTGATAACAAAGTTGCATACAGCACTTTTTTTTCTTCAAAAAGCACCCTCCCTCAAATAAGCATGTAGACAGGGCTGAAAATAAGTCCTGTCCAGTCATCAGGGACAAGTAGATTTTCTTGCTGGGCATGTTACTTTTAAAATTCACATGCCCAAAGGGCAAGGGCCTAAGCATGTCATCTTCTAACCTAATCATTAACCCTTTGAATGACAGGGACGTATATATATCATATATGTCCTCAAAGGTATGTTTCTGCTACTAAGGACGTTTCGGTAGCTCAGCGTTTTTGTCTGTGGTTGTTTGAAAGGGTCTGAGAAGAAATAATGTTAAGTGCTGACCTGAATGTTTTTTAAGGAAGTTATCAACAGTTATGTTGTGTTGTGACGTAATATTAAAGTAGCTGACATGATAGTTGTGAGTACCTTGCCAGATCACTTACATTTTTACTGTATTTACTAGTTTAAGGCAAGATATACAACTAAACAAAGTTATAAAGTTCTTACATTGCCAAAAATACATTTTTGTGAAAAAATCCAATATGGTTGCCGGTTGCTAAGGTGTGTTTGGGTTGGCATTCAAAGGGTTAAATACGACGAGGAAGAAGTGGCCCTGGGCAAGAAAAATGTAAGAGCTGCTTGCTCAAATTCAAGTTTTTTAGCCCTGTGAAGAGAAAAGAAAAGTTGCCCCACTACCTTCAGCTATGTATGAAACAAAGCCTTCTTTCACTCTGACCCCGCTTTAATCATATTATAATAGACATCGAAAGGTAGTGAAAGATATTAAATATTGGCTTACCAGAAGACAACTAACTAAAAAAAGCCTTTGCAGTCAAGCTTGGGTATGAACAACGAATTTCACAGAATTTGAGGCAAGGAAGGCCACTACAGATGAGTTTGCATCTCAGGGATGAAGTATATAAAATCATCATCTTGTTTTTATTAGGTTCCGGAACTTCCTGGTTAAAGAAAAACAAAAGATTTGATGAGTATTAATAGAAGTGATTTTTTTTAACGTTGTCACAGAAGTGAATATAGTCTTTTTGTTGCAATAAATATAAACACAATTTTTGACCTTAAGGCAACAATTGATCTGCAAGTAAACACAAGAAAAGACAAATAATTAGAGATTAAAAGTTTGGAGAGTGTAATTAAAATAGGTAATAATAATTGTGTCCTTGAAGGAGTTAACAACATGTCACCGCTCCGACACAAGCTAAAGATACATGTTCTCTAACCTCACTATTTGAAAGCGCTCAAATGAAACAAGAAGCTTTAAAATCATATTGTCAACGATGCCAGTTGACTTTGTAATCTTATAATCTTTTCAGAAAACAATGGCCAAAGACAAAACGTTCCAGACACATACCAGTTAGTGCAGACATTGTCAAAACGCCGTGTGGCACAAAGCACTTTTTCAGCAATTATTAATATTAAGCAAACTTGTCCCATCAAGATTAACTCTATTAAGAAGGAATTGTTTGAGAAAACTCTCACCAGAATAGCTGAATTTCTAGACGATGGCAAACTGACAAAAGATTAGCCAAGAAAAAGCTCTTCGCCGACATGTATTTCCAGTGAACGTCGGTAATTTTGTTGTTGCCGAAAGATGGAAAAATAAGCTTATATTAAGTCTTATATTGTCGCTCTTTTTGTGAGAATCGAATGCTCTTACTTTGACGAAGAAAACAACTAAAAGAGTAACCTATGTAATAATCCTCAATTAGAAAGTGATTCTACCAACCTTCGGAAGGAATATCGCGTACAAGGCGACTGATTCCTCCCCGTTCGACAGGTCCTACATGCAGCCATCTTGGATCTTCTTTACCATAACAGTGATCATGTGACCGCTGAGCCACATGTGCCCCCCTCAAGAAGGGCGGAATAATGATTGACGGATGGCTTTGCGAATGGTTGCCCACAGGGCGGATAAATGTTATCCGCATCCATCTACGCGCGGGTAAGTGCGCGAGGTACTTTGAATTTTTGCAAATGAGTATTCAGTTCTGATGATTATTTAAAAATAAGATTAAAAAGTGTGCGTACATGACAGGGCTTCTTGCCTTTATTGTTTCAAACACCCGAGCATTCATAGCTGTGGACCTGTGTACGAGTACTTCATTTCCTTTCTTCACTACCACACACTTGCCGGCCGGGTATTTTCATTTTTACGTCCGATTTTGTGAGTTCCCACGTGATTCGTCAGACCTTCCGAGGCGCCCTAAGCCTCTGTTTCAAAGAGAGGCTAAGTGCAAAGATTCATGCAATAGATGCATAGCCAATGCATAGCTTCGTTTTAAAATTGAGAGTTTTTGGAACTCGGAAATGGCCTGATATCTTGCAATCTGAAACAAGGCAATCTGTGGTCCTTACACTTTCTTACAGTAGGAAAACGCCAAAAGCCGGACAAATTCGCTGGGTTCAAGTTACAGCTGTGCAGGTGTGAACCTTTACTCTATAAATCAAAACCACCCTCAGCTGCACCTGCAAAACGAGGCTAAAATCTAGAAAAATGTGTCTAATCTCCACAAAATAAATGAACGCCTTCTGCGCTTTGCATTCCTTTCTAGTTCTTCCCTTTACCACGCTCCTGCATTCGATGTATGCATAACCTTAGTGGGCGCTAGAAGTAGCTTGTGTACGGCCGCCCCTCCCCTCAGAAAAACGCTTGCCTGTTCACAGACCCTCTATTTCCTCTTCATCAGTCTGTCAAGCGCGCGTGATAAAAAATGAAAAACCGAGGGGGATTTAGTGACCGCCAGCGCAAAGGGTAGTTCTTTCTCGCGCTCCGCGCTCGCCGATATTTTCGAACAGAACGGAAAGAAAAATAAACCAACGGCTGTGTACAGGCTAGAAAAACGCTTGAAGTCAATAGAGGGGACCATTTTTCCTTTTTCACCAGCTTGACGAGCACTCCGTTTTGCTTCAGGAAAACAAACAATGTACACAAACTTCACTTCTTTAAGAAACAATCAGCTTTATATAGTTTATTTCCATGATTCAAGTAAATGTATTTCTTAGCCTGCCGAGCAAGCTCTCCATTTTCAGTAGAGAGCGAAGCAAGCCGTGAGAAAACATACTCGCGTCACCTTTACTATGCATTTCTCAAAAACGTGTAATTTGTATAGGTAACAGCATGATTTGCAGTGATATTTGGCATAAATACCATGAGTGATATTTCGAAATTGTTATCGGCGAGTGAAATTTGAGACAATTTTGAAATATCACAAGTGGTATTTATGCCAAATATCATGCACAAATCATGCTATTATTTGTTTATACTACTACCCACAAAAGGTTTGTAATTTTCACATGTAGGTATTTCAAATTAAGCTGAAATACCACTGCTCTAAGCCAATCAAATTGCAGAAATTTCTCATGTAGTGGTATAACGGCCAGAATAATTTTTTTCGAGTTGATTAATGAAATACAACAGAATCTCTCCTTATTTTGTCTTGAACATCAAACAACAAAAACTCTCACCTTGGACAATAAAATAAATTATTCAAAGTTAACCAGAGTTCAATGAAAACAGATCTTGGAATTGGCATTCTATAAACAAGACTACAACAAAAAATTAAGGGTGTTCTTATAATATTCTGTGCATAAAATATTTTTGTCATAAGGGACTTCTGGGTTTTTTTTTGAGAAATACAAGCCAGTTAGAGAGAAGCCTTCTGTGTAGATACAGACTTCTTCTAACAGGGAAACCACATTTCGCTACAAATAACCCTGGCTTGAGACATTTATCAGAATGGTAAGATAATTTATTATATAAGAAAATTCGTAAGGTAATAATAATAATAATTTGTTTTCCAAATAAAAAGAAAAAAGGTAATTGTTTCTCTATAGCAGTGAGGCACTTAATGAAATAGCCCCCAAAGAAGGGAAAGTACTTGGTGAGCAGAATCAGTGAAGCCAGGTGTCTAGTCAATTTGCTACAAAGCCCTTCCACTGCACAGTGTTTTTGCTACAAATGGTTGCTTGATATAATTGTCATGGCAAAACTAAGCCTGGTGAGCAAATGAGATTGATGTGACACACGAGATTTGATTCAGTTATTTCACCCAGAAGCTCTCCCAAGTGGGAGAACTCAGATTTTTTTTTTCTGAGTACCCTGTGTTACTCTCGGAAAATACATTCCCAAACTACACTACATTGCAGCTTCTTCTAAGTATCAAAATGTTTGCATGTTAAGCAAGTTGAACTTCTCGCCTGGTATATTATCACACATATCCAATGTAGTGAATAAATAAAACCAGAGTGGAGCAGAATGGCTTTGTAGTGAAACGCCTGGTAACTTAAGTATCAATAACAGGAAAGAACACAAGGAAGTTTTGAAGTTTTAAACATAAGCAAAAGGAGAAAGTTCAAATAGCTATAACAAGAGAATGAAACATGTTCTATTTTGTTTGTTTTGATTAACATAAATAAATGAACTGCTCACCAAGTAAAATTAACTATAAAAATCTTTATTTAAGGTTACTTCAAATGCTAAAGGGTACTGTATGCTTTTATACAAAGTAAAACGATCCTTAATCCTGGATAGGTCCACTTAGTCTCCTTTGCAGCTATTTTTGCGTTCCTACACAACTCTCCTACGCACAAATTGCATAATGACACAGAGAATGGCTGCGAAGAAGACTAAGGTCTACTCAGTTCTTAACAAAAAGAGCCAAACAAAAGCCATGTTTTCACTACAATACCTAAAAGACAAGATCACTAGACCTCTGGGACTGGTCTGACACACAGAAGATAAACTTCCCAAATCATACAAGTACAGTTCCTTCCCATAAACTAGTCTACTGAATAAATCCTACCCTTCTACATGTATGACTACTGTACAATCTCTCTCAGGTGGGTTTGAAATCCCACAATATTATAATAATTTTAACACTCAAAATCTAGCCCCCTCACTGTGCAAACAGATTTTGGGCTCCAAGAGCTCATTCCTACGGCCCTCTCCTACCCACTGGGACAGGTAGGAGAGGACCTTAAATGTAGGAATGAGGTTGTTTGGGCTCATCATGAAACTAAAAATTAATTTTCTCATTGATGGACTAAGCCAAAAAATGTCTGCAAGAGAGGCTTCTTACAATCCACAGCAATGGCATTCCATGGGTGCTACACCAAACTGAACTTTTTTTGATACAAGTAGAATTAACTATCATAAGGTTTCCAAGAAACTCTGCTATCTCAAACTCGCGTGCTGTGTACCTCAATTTCCTCACATTACCTTGAGTTTGATAGACAACGGGCAATGTGTTGCAGAAAAAAATCACTGGGACAAACCCCCTACACTGTATGTGTACCAAACAATTATGCTTCTCTTACATATCCACTTTTGCTTTAGCAAAAAGACAAATTAAAACTCTAAGATGCTCCTTCCATTTTGCATTATACTTGTACTATTATCTTTGTCAATCAAAGAGAAAATTTCGCATCGGATTAGGAACTTTTAAGGCCTTACTTTTCCATGTCTCCATGACTAACCTTGGTCTCAGCCTAAATCAAACCAGTTGCAATTTATGATATCCAGTGCTGCAACCACATTTCAATGTTGTCACACAGGAGGAAATGTTCCTGTGTCAGTGAATAGTCCCTTAGACAAATCATTGCAATGTGAGACCAACTGTGTTTGAAATTAAGAGAGAGCAGGATTCTGCTGTAAATGAGTCAAGTTAAGATGGACTTGTTAAATTTTCTCCGTGTTCTATCATTTTTTAATTTCCCCAATCTTCACCAAAGTGTATAAAATTTATTTGATTGAATCAGTAAAGGCCTTGATTCTCATGGTCCACCCAATAATTGATGAAAAAATGAAGACTATAATTACTTTGGACTAATCTAGGCCACTTCAACGTTACTCAGCCACAATAACACATTATTTTAATAGCTTTAACCTATGATCAACTCATCCAAAAAATGTGGGGCATGTGTAAAACATGAACAAAATTATCTCAAATGTATGAGAAGTAAAGGTGGTAAGGGAAATACAGAAAAATATTATCAAAGAGAAGAGTCTTTTGTAAGTGTCAATTTTCTGATTTTCTGATCATCTATGATTAGAGGATACAGAAATTGGAGCAGGCTACAATGTGTATGGATGGACTTGTGACTGGAAAGCAATGATATAAAAGGGTCCCTAAGGGCCACTTTTATGAACATTCTGAGGAACATCCTTGCTGATGATATCATGCACTAGCCAGAATAATGTGACTCTAATAAGCATCCATCTTTTAACCAAAAAAGATAGTCTTATAACCCAAAACTTGACTCATACAGAGGAGAAAGCCACCTGGCCACTACATATGTTGCAATCAATTCCTCATAAAGGAATATCCTTGCTTTTAGAAATTTAAACACTCTACAATATTGTACAGCGGAAAAACCCTCTGGATTGCTTAGGTTGTTGTGTAACATGGATTGTTGATGTAGCTTGAGGACTGGATTGTTCCTGAAGAAGAAAAATAAGGCAAATGAATGTGTTGTTCTTAAGACAAATTCACGCAAAGCCATCTTGCTACAGACTTACAAGTTTCTTGTCCATTTTAAGTTTTATATCTCTCGCAAGTGTGAAAAAGGCCTGTGTAATAAAATTAAGAAAATTCTACAGTTAGTAATGGTTAATGGAAAGATTAATAACTAATAATTATCTAAAAAGGAATAAATAAAGCAAAACCTTCTGCTGGTTCTAAATAAAACCCTTGATGTGTAGCTAACAGAGCATGTTTTGACCAACCATTACGATTTAGTACTAATGTAGTTGTTCGATTTGGCAAAATTGACAAAAAATTAACACCCGGCCTTGCTCCTTAAAATCAAGGATGAGAAATGACACACTGAGTTGGCCTTCATACAATTTCAGAGTTCCATTTTTTCATTTCCAGTGTGTGGGGGATGCTTTTCAATTTTATTCTGTCCAAGATTTAGCTAATGAGTATCATTTGATCATGTCAAAGTCAAAGTTCCCTTTTTTATGGAGTCATGTCGTAAGTGACTTGAGCTCCCCAAATTGCACTGTGAGTGTCTGAATGGTTGATAACAATACAAGAAGACTGTAGCACTGCTGTCTCCAAGTCCAATAAATCAAATCAAAGCCTTTACAAGACAGTCCATACCTCCTCCACGTTAATGCTAGCTTTAGCACTGGTCTCCATGAATTTTATTCCATATTCTGTAGCCAACTGTGTTCCTCTTTCTTTAGACACTAATCTACGATCCTCCATGTCACACTTATTTCCCAACACCATTTTCTCAACATCAGATGATGCATGCTAAATAAATGTACAAATTTGTTATATACAGTTCCACGAATAATAATTTATGTGAATTTTTTTTTTTTACTTTTTATTCTGTTTTTTTTTTCTAAAGAAAAAAGAGAAATGTAAAGAATTTGCACTCAGTTGTTAGCTTTTCAAGGTGGTACAGCTTAAAGAATAGCAATTAACCAAGTTCCAACTTCCGATTGCTTTTCTTACACTTAGAGAATATGTGCTACATTCATTCAATGAATTGGCTTGGCAAAGGAAGTGAACCCATTTTCACTTTTTACACTTTATTTCAATTATACAGTATCTATAAAATAATGTGTATTCATGATTTTTTTTCTCTGCTAAAAAATACATGTATGCTCTTCTTTTGTTTAGTTGTAGTACAATAAAAAGTCATTAACAATTTCTTTTTCTGCGATCTGTCTGACAGAGTGTTACTGTCAAATTCTGAAAACCTTAAACACCTGAAGTGTTTAAGGAATGCTGAATGAGTACTGGCTAATAATCACTACAAAGATCAGGACACCCGAACAAACAAACTTATTATTGGTCTTCCCGATTTTCACTGTTTTAACTGCTTCCTTGTTTTGTTTATTCATAAGAACAGTTGCCAACACAACCTGGATCAGACCAGATTTGTCTTCTATGTGTTTGGAATGATGACATGGCACTTTTGTTTTTTATCAGTAGTTTGAAATCACTGGTAAACCCATTAACCAACTGGTTTATGCCAACCATTTTCTATTTGTGTTCCGTTTAGAATACTTAATAACCTGTTCAGCCACTCAATGGACCTGTTCAAACAGGGGAGTAAGCCATTTGCCTGTTTGTGTTCACCATTTGGAAAACTTAATAACCCGTTCAGCCAATCTATAGCCCTGTTTGAATGGGTAAGTAAGCCATTAGTAACCTGTTCAATAACTGTGAGTTTCACCCACTTAATGGAAAGCCATTACTGTGCATTTTCGCATACTTACCTCCTCAATATTTCTGATCCAGTTTTTGATATTCTCAAAGGACTTGTCATTTGTGATGTCATATACAAGCATGATGCCCTACAACGAAACAAAAATATGGGTAAACAACATTTTAGTAAATATCACATTACTTCAAAGCTTATATACTTTAACTGTAATACAAACCGACGTGTTTGTCTTTTTTTGCCTCTCAGTACAATTTTGGTTTATGAGGGAGATTAACAGATTAAGTAAAAGCTCAATATTTGACTTCTAACTAAACAAGGGTAAAGGGTTCTTAAACATGAGCCAGGGACTCACATTCCTCAAGTCCCAGGACACATTTCAGTTGGTTTCTAGATGGATCACTGAAAGTATCTGCTATTTAACTTATTATCAAAAATGAGACAAAAATAAAAGCAAGCGGGAAAAGAATGAACATAAAATTAGTTGAAAGAGAAATAAAAATAAATCAGCTTTCCGGAGGGAGATGATGCTCCACCAGTTTAATAGCCTTGAGCTAGGTTGCATGAAGCATCTTAAGATTACAAGAACTGTAATCCACAACAACACTTAAGAGCCATCTTATCTGAAGAACATCTCCTGCAACCTGCTCCTGGCCCTAGTAGTTCAAAAGGTGGATAACCAAATCTCTATCCTGTGAGTAAAGTAATTATTAGTTTTCCTAATAGTTATTCACTGCAGGAGGATAGTGCTATCCACCTTTTGAAAAATCTGGGCCCTGGTGCTCAAGTGCATTGTAGGTATCTCATGCTTATTTAGTACTCTAATTACCAAACTTTCACAATAACAAACTTTGGTTGCTCTTTGGGTAAGTTGTATAAACAAGGTTTCGAACATAGAGGCTGACCTGAGAAGTATGTCATTGTACATGTATTTAAAGAACATGTGGCTGTCTTCACCAAAGCGTGTGAAGTGAGAGAAACTGCTAAAACTGCAAATTTTGGTGGCAATTGGAAGTAATGCAGTTTTCTTTCAATACTTTTAAGCACAGAAGAACCTCAATAACTCAAAACTCGGATAACTCGAATTCCCCGCTAACTCACACTAAATTTCCTTTTCCTTGATCACAATTTCACCTAAATCTACCTTAATAACTCGAAATATTTAATGTTTCCCTTCAGAGTTCCAGTTACCGGGGTTCTACTGTATCTGTCTCTTATCATGGAAATCCCTAGAGTCAGAGCAACACGTGTCAAAACCCATAAAAATCCTGAAGAGGAAAGGCAGCGGTTTGACTGCACACCAACTTTTGGCTCTTCCAGCAAAATTGGTCATTTCAACTTGTATCAAAATAGCTTTGTATTGAAATGACTGTTATCTCTCCCAACAAGAATATAGAATACTGAGCCACTTATTTCTAAATCATAAAATATGAGTGGCAACTTCTGTAATGACATGCTTTGTTCTAAAAGGCATTGAGGGATTATTTAATAAGTAGCCAGGTATTCCAAAATTAATCTAGCAATCTTAATTACCATAGCCCCACGGTAGTAAGCGGTGGTGATGGTACGAAACCTTTCCTGGCCAGCTGTGTCCCTAACAACCAAACACATGACAAAAGTAGCAATTAAATAAGATCAACTTGATTAAGGAGACTATTGCAGAAATTTTAACTATTGCAATAGGCCACATGGATATTGCGATAGTATTGTGATAGAGGAGGTACTATAGCAATGGCATTGCGACAGTTTTCAGGAATATCTGTTTTTACAAAATGCCTTATACTTTAAGAAATAACTAAGAAGAGGTGGTCAGTCAATACAGGTACTACGCGGTTCAAGAATCAAGAGGCTAAAACATTATAGACAGGGTTCACTATATATAGGTGCAGTAGGACCGTAGATTGTTTTTAATTTCTTGTTTATCGTTATTGTGACCTTAGGTATCAAAGGTGGGTAAAAAAAGGGTGTCCTTATTTTCCAAAGAAGTTAAAAATTATGTTAGAAGAATAAAATTAATGAAACTATCAATAGTTCACTACGCGATCGCAGCATTAATATCGCAATTAATTGATAGTGCAATGTATTGTTCAGGGTTTTCAAAACTTGCCGACGCCCGACGCCATGTGCCGGCTACTTGCCGTGTTCGTGTCGGGTACTTTTGAGCCAAAATTTCAGATCATTAATTTAAACAGTGAAACACTACGCTAATACTATCTGTCATGGCTTAAACAAAATAAAATGTAAATGTTTGAAGAAAGTTGAAGAAAAAAAATCAATGGAATTTTTTGATGAAACTTTGTTATAATGACGTTGATTTTGACCTGCTAAAAATCACGTTTTGAGCCCTGAAAATGCACCAGAATACATCATTGGACGTTCAAATTTTCAAAATTTTCTGGGGGAGGCCCTCCCGGACACCCCCCCCCCCTAACAGGAGGGGGACACCCTCTCCCGTACCCTCCCCCACCTGCGCCTTTGCCACACGACGCCGCTCCACGGCACATTACTGAGTCAGGTAGAATTCAATTTCCTCCTGCTACTTTTTATAAAAATGAAAGCCCTGACTGTTACCGCCTTATTGATGCTGGTCTACTGCCCTCTGTCATCACTCATTAGATAAAAAAAGCATTTAGTGATGTTACAATGTAATTTGGGTACACCACTGACATTTAGGAAAGCTTGTAGCTTCTAATTATCAATTGCCTCAAAGACAAAAAAATTTTTGAAGAAGTTTTTAAAAACCCTATGCACTCAAATTGCATTTTATCAAAATTACACCTCATGTTACAAACAGTGGTGTATAGTACTTCTTAGATAGCAAAAGGAAGGGAATATTTTTTCAGGTTATCTTATCACCAGGAAAGTGCTGGGTCAAGCACGCAAAGCATAAATAAGGATTTATAGTACCAGCTTATGCACACCACAGCATGTAATAAGACACACGCTATAGTTATAAGGTCGATTAGACACTTAAACGCGTAGGAGCCTAGTTAAGGAAAAGAGCAATGCCTCTCTCACTAAACCTAAAACGGAGAAGATGACTGAGTACAAGTAGCTTGCTTTTAACTATCATGTGCACTGTGATTCTTCTCTCACCATATTTGAAGTTTTATCTTCTTCCCATCCAACTCTATCGTCCTTATCTTAAAATCAATGCCTGAAAACCACAAAAGAATTCCTTCAATATTCTGAAGTCACACTGAACCCTCTAAATTCCAAAGCAAAACACAGTACACCCGAAGAATTCTTCAACGGTTTCTCTTCGATGCACCAACCTATGGTAGAGATAAATGTCGAATTGAACGCATCTTCGGAAAATCGGAACAGTACGCAGGTCTTGCCAACTCCTGAATCTCCTATAAGTAATAGTTTGAAGAGGAAATCATATGTTTTGGCCATTCCAGAACACTGCTAAATGACTTTCTTCCCGACTTTGAAACTGTTCAACTGAGCAGGCGTGGCTCCTCACTGCGTCTGCGCGCCCCGTTACAAAGTAACAGCAGCCAGGCCTTATTACAGAACCGCGCCAGTCTGGACTATAGCGCTTTTCCGGTGAAATGTGAAATGAGAACACTTCCTTTTTTTATGTTTCGAGAGCTTCGAGATGGGGGAGAAAGACTACGAAGTAACGTACAAGATCCTCATTCTTGGAGACAGTGGTGTGGGAAAAACTTGCCTGATCTTCAGATTTATAGAAAATATTTTTTCTGACTCGTATATATCCACTATAGGTAAGTTAGTTGTTTTGCAAAGTTGCAAAGAAACCTGCATATTTGATGATGAGCTTCATAAGCTTGAGCTTGTTTATGAAAAACGCAAGCTAATTAATCAAAATAAAACGTTTTTTAGCTGAAAGTAAAGAAAGAAATATGCGTTCAAATAAGTTCAATTTTGGAGGTTATATATATCGTTGATCAACCTATAAGTGGAAAACAATAATTTATTGCAAGTATTTGAGCAAACCTTACTTATGCATTAGCCCAACAATACATCGTAGTTTAGCGCATATCAGCTGCAGTGTCTGCCAGGTTTCAAACGTGCACAGCTTGCTTATAGAACTTATGTTGTGATCGTAGTTAACCTATCTAAATACGCGCTAGTTCCAATATAGTTCCATATTTCAAAAGTGAAGACATACCTAATATGTCAAGGGTAATTGAAAGTTTCACACTTACAGTTTTAATTAAATAATTATGAGCTCGATCCGAATGCTCAGCGGCAATGCTTCATCAAGATATTTTAATTCATTTCCGTTTCAAAATTTGCGGAATAAAAAAAATCTTTAAATCTACGCATATTTCTCTATTTCTCTATCAAGGTATTGACTGCAGGAGTAAAATAGTAGACCTTGATGGCAAAAGAGTGCGTCTACAAATCTGGTAAAATTTATTGCTATTTAAGTTATGTGGATTTCTAAATTAGCTGTCATGATTACAATTTTCGTCACTGGGTCTGGTTCTCAAAAAGGAATCTATGGTAATTGAAGCCTGAGAGTTTTTTTCCTTTGGATCAAGTACATTAATGTAGAACTGGACCAGAAGCAACCTACTACCTTTACCTTACCTTTAGATACTTTGAAAACTTTATGTAGTTGTCTTTTCTTATCTTACATCAATTATTGTAGTTTAATATGGGCATTTACATATGCTCCTTATTACCTTGAACCACTATATGTACTTATTAAAAGAAAGCCATTCGAATAATTACGTTTTCTAATCTGCGCACAACCTTCAAGGGGCACCCAATGACTGTTTTCCGTAAAACATCTGTTCGGAGAAGCAAATGTTGCCTAGAATTTTGAGGACAGCTAAAAAATTCCAGATAGATAGATGACCGTTCTATTCATCTACAAGTTTTGAAGCTTATCTAATAAATCCTCTGTGATTTTCTGAAGTCTAATTTTTCATGATTCATTCCCCAGGTAAGGCAATTTTTTGTTGAAAAAAGGAAACCTTAAATTTTTGGATTAAAAAATGCAATGGAGAGAGGAATCAGGAAAATTCTTACTTTGATAATAAATTAAATTGCATCTAAAATTTTCAGGAAAATAATACTGAAGCCCTTGTAATTTTGAAAGGCTCAAGTTGCCCTAGGATGACTGAACAGATACAAATTTCATAGCACCGCTTAGAATAAATTCTAGAGATCTTAAAGTGCTCTGGATAGCCGAAAAAGTGATTTCAATGTGTGTAGGAGGAGACCGTCGTTGGGTGCCCCCGACCCTCTAAGCCCCTTTTTTTCTCTCCACTGTATCCATAAATTCCATGCTGCCTGTTTTGTATTTTCACATTTTAATAGCCTTTTACCTACTCCTGTTTCCTCAATCCTACATTTTAATTCTGAATATCACGATTATATGACTCGTTCAAGTTTTAATCTGCATAAAACCTTGTCATAAGTATCAATTTGATATCACTTTGCAAGCTTCTATTATTTGGAATGATATTCTGTTAACTGTGCACAATAGCCTTCACAACAATTAACTTTAAAAAAAGTACTTGAATTAGCCTATGCATAAATGGTTGAAGGGCTGTAGAATTTATATCCCTTAAGTTTATAGTTTAATCTAATCTCTAATGTCACCAATTTTGTATACCTTGTTGGACTATTCTAGGTGTATTTGTTTGTATGGTCTATAGGAATATGTTATCGAGTGTTTGTAAATTTAGTAGTCGTAATTAGTTGCTGAGTATTTAATAATAATTACTTGTTAGTTTAATCAAGCTTAAACTTAATTAAACATGTTAAAACATGTAGTTTAATCAAGTCTCCTGTCACCAATTTTGTGTACCCAGCTTTGGTTGTTCTCATGTATTTTTCTGAGTGTGTGATATGTAATTAAGTAAAAGTGAAAGTTAAGTTACTTTAATTTTTGCAGTTTTTCTGCTGCCACTACCTTTGTTCCAGAGATTCCTTGCATGGATCTTCGTCAATTTGTCAGACAAAGGCAGAATAAACAAAGACAGCACTAGCTAGAAAATAATTTCCTCCAAAGAAAAGATTAATGTTTGCAGAAAATTTGCAGTCAAATTATCTTGATTAATAGACTGCTTTATGCAGGCCCTGGAGTGTAATATAGTAGACTGTCTGGTTGTGTTGAATTTTTCGGAAAATAGTGGAGCTGGAACCCTAAAGCCCTTTTCCAGGTTGATGATCACCTTAGCCTCAATGTTGGTCATGACAGCTTATGCATGATGTTCAGCCCGGTCAAACTCTTTCATAAGCTGTGAGTCTGACATTGCCATTTATGCTACTGCTCTGTATATTTTATCTTCAAGCCCAGCTGAAGGTCTGCCATCTGGAGCTCTAGACCCATAAGAGGCTTCATCGATAGCTCCATTATTCTGTCGCTCAAGGCCATAAGGGGGGTGGGAAGGGGTCAATTATTTCATTAAGTTTGCCCTCATCATATTTATGCTCATTTATAGGAGCAAAACAAACGCTGAAACTGGAAATTATAAGTGGTCAACTTGTTTAAGATGGAAACTCTTTTGGTTGTTGGAAAAAGAGGCCAGAACATAGTTTTCCATATTTTGAGACACAGAATAAACTACATTTGCCAGCCCTGTAGAAATTAATTAGAACCAGTTAGTCAGATTCATAGGCTCAATTACAAACTAATCACTTCCATATTAAGTATGTAACAATTAAATTATGTATTTGAGAAAGTGACTTTCCTGTTCCTGTTGACGTTAGGGATACTGCAGGACAGGAAAGATTTAGAACCCTCACAAGTGCATATTTCAGAGGAGCAATGGTATATTTTTCTAATTTATTAAATTGCATTTGTATTTGAATAGATACAGTATTTAATTTTCAGTTAACTATATCAAGAAAACAAGGCCAAAAAGTCAAATTGATGGTAAGCAGCAAGAAAGCATTTAAGACACTGTACAAGCGTAGCTCTTTGAAAAAGTCACACAGCCGCACATTAACTGCTTTTATTAATGATCATCACTCTGACTCTTTTAATATAAAAATTATTGTTGTTGTTTGGTTAAAGAACTGGCCTCAGTTGTTCAAAAGGTGGATAACTAACCCCCTTATAGAGATATTTACTTATATATGTAAATGTAAGAGTGAACTGCACTGAAGGTTGTTAATGTGAGCATAAGTCAATAGGCTGTACATAAAAAGTTGAGTTTCTTGGAAAGTGAGGGTTGAAGCTGCTTGGTTTTTGAGGTTTATAACTTTGGCAAAATTTATGCACAGCATAGATCTGATTAGCATGGTAGTGAGATCTTGGTTAATTAGGTTGAGTGAACTTTATTTCCTAGCAACACTAGGATGTGTACAAAACATGGACCCTCGGTCCAGCATGGACCACACCTGTGGACCTAGTCCATGGACCCCCTTCATGGACCCAGTCCATGGACTTTCCCTGTGGACCACCTCTAATACGAGTATTTGAAGATGAATCTTACCAGGTGTCGAAAAATTAGGGGTTGTCCACAAGGGTAGTCTATGGACCTGGTCCACGAGGAGGTTAATGGACTGGGGGTCCATATTTTGTATGTGTCCGCAACACTAGGCAAGCAACAAAGCAAAACCTCAACTAGATTGGTTGATTCTTTTTGCTGCCATTTTGGTGGTCACCTGACCAAACTAAATTTTAATATTTGAATTCATTTGACACCAAGGTAAACCCACAATAAACTTGGCGCATGAATAAGTTTCAGGTCCACACCTCAGCAGTAATTGTATTACCACTACTTCTGGGCGAGTTTGCGCACGTTGACCTTGCCAAATGTATGTTTTTCATCCTTCAGGTCAAACCATGCCAAATTTGTTTCAAACCTCATTTCAGACTCATTACACTTTGATAATTATATTTCAGGGTATTGTATTAGTGTATGATGTAACTACTGAGGACTCATTTAAACACATAGCACAGTGGCTACAAAATATTCAGGATGTAAGTGCAGCACTCATTAGCCTTTGTAGTTTATAAAATACACTGTATATATGACCAGGCAATTCACAGGAAAATGCAAAAAACCTGCAGTTTTTAAGACTTAGAATTCCATCAAGGAGAGGCCAAGATGTAATATATCAAGCATGAGATGCAGTATTTATCACGAGATGAAACACCAAGAACAGAGTTGAAAATACGACTCACAGCGGAGTATTTTTGACGAACTTCGGGTTTCATCTGGTGATGGAACACCATGTCGAATGCTTGATTTTACTTCTCAAACCAATTGACTTTAGAAGGAGAAATTAAGGATGCAAAAATGAGCAGTTTATCATCTGTTTTCCAAACACTCATTAACATTAATTTTCTTTGTATCTTCTTTATAAATTATTAATGAGTTTAAGAATGCCATTTCAGACAGGCAAAATCCTAAGTCTTATTCATTGAACCAGCTCCTTTAAATACGTGTATAATAAATAAACATTATAACTTAAAAGCTAATGTAATAGACAAAATAGGAGCAGCAGACCTGCATGGGTGTTTACAACATTGAGCCAAAGGCTCACAAAGGTATTGTAAGTTCCATTTGGCCTGAATTTCAACCAATTCTTCACTAGGATTCTCGAGGAGACAGCTTCCATTTCAATAACTTTCCTTGTTAATTTGAGTTATAAATCTTAGCTGAGTATATTGAAGTATAAGGACAATTCTTCTGGACACCATTCTGTTTGAAGTTTTACGGATGGTCATGATTTTAAACCTTTTTATTTCATTCTTGAATCATTTATCAATTTGCAATTTTTATTGTCATACAGCTCTTTTTGTTTTTTTTTTCTTTTCAGAATGCATCGCCTGATGTTTGTAAAGTCCTTGTTGGCAACAAAATAGATTGTGATGATGAAAGAGTCATAGACACTGACAAAGGCAAATCGGTGGGGCTGGTCTTTTTCATAATTAAAGAACAATGTTGGAGTCATAAGCTCTTCAAAGAGGCATACATTTTACAAGTTAATCCACGTCACTGTTTTAATGTTTTTATTACATACCCTTCCACTGCCACATTTGTTGGTAATGTCCTTGTTCAAGAAATGTTGAACAGTGATAATTTTGACGAAAAAGGCCGTTCATTTAAACTTATGTAAAAAGTCGGAACTTGTTTAGTCAATCTTTGAAGACTCTTTGAAAAGTTTTGAAAAATGCCCAACACTTGGATTATATTTTCTACTCACTCGACAAACTGCAACATTTCTCACCATTTGCTGAGCAACAGAAATTCAAATATTAATTGCTGATAACGTTTCCAGGGTTAATCAAGAAGAAACGGCAGGGAGTTTGTTTACCGCGGTTCGCACCGGGTACAGTGCGCCTTTTACGCGGGAAATTTCATAGCCACGCTCAGAAAGGTCGTTGCCCTTGTAGGTTAATTAAAGATCTTATGCCGCGAGGTAAGCTCTATATGAGATAAATTTTTCCTAGTTCAAACTGGGCGTTACATGTTTAATATTTTAGTGATGTTAGAGGTAGAATGATTGTAGTGTTTTAACTTAAGCTTGAGCTTATATTTTCAATGATTCCTCAAGATGTAGCACCGCCGTTTTCACTCTCATTTATAATAAGCTTAAATTTTTTTTTATTTTGTTCAAGTTTGAAGTCTTTTTCTTTCCGCCTGTACAGATTAGTGAAAATGCTGACTTGGAATTTTTTGAAACAAGTGCCCGAACGGGTGAAGGAGTATCAGAGGTAAAACACTGAATTAAAAGAAGTTTTTATTACTTGGAAGAAGGCAGGTCTCCGCAATACAAGTTCCTTTGAGTTTTCAGCCATTCAGAATTATTTTCCCCCATTTCAGGGGCACCCAACGAGAATATAGTTCAAAACTACTTAAAGTCGCATCGTTAAACGTATTTTAGTATTTAAACGGTAGATATAGGCATATTTTTATTCCCTAAAAATTTTTCATCTGTTCGGATTTCCTAGCTGAAAGTCTAGTGATCCGAAAATTATAGGGATCAAAACTTACCTTTTCGAAAATTTCAGCCAGAAAAAAGGCTTCCGAAAAATTCTAGGTGACCCTTCTAGGGTAAAAATCCGTTAAAAATGGGCTATTATACCATTTTTTAGATGTTCGAGAATCCTAGGAGTGGCAGACAAGCAAGAAATTTTATAACAAATGTTCCGAAAATTCCAGGTCTGAAATCGTCTTCTGAACAGATATTTTCCGAAAATTGACGTTGGGTGCCCCTGCCATTTGATAGGCTGTGTTGTACTGTCTAGTTTGTAGTTCACCAAAATGCTTTGGAAGTATTTTTTTTGTCTGTTTGTTTGTTTTCCTCATTTTGTCTTTAATACTCTACAATGATACAAATGTTCCTTTCTAAATGGTTGAGAAATTAGCGACCATAGCCTTGGCGTTCTTTTTGTGTGGTTTTATCAAGTACTTTTTTTTGACACTTTATTTGGGCAAGATTGCAATCATGATAGAATTTACAAGAAGACATATAATTAACGAAATAAGAGTAATTAATTATGGTTATAAGAATAATTAAAAACAATTGCTGATCCGCAAAAGAGCAAGTGCAAATAGGGCCCTAGACCCATGCAAGGCACCGTCCTGTTGTTACTTACAATTACAATTTCAATTTCAATGCTGTTAAATAGCTCATTTACCCTTGAAAAAAAAATTAATTCAAACCCTAGATGTACGTTAACAACAAAAGTAAATAAAAATTCCAGGAAAGTGGATGCGGTAGGCACGGTCACTTTCACAGTCACTTTCACTGTATTGAAGCTCTCGAGATAAGCTCACATGTAATTATTAAGGCCCGGTAAAAGGGTTCAAACGTCCAAATGTTTCACATGCCGAATTCAATGCTAATAAGGAAACTCTATTATTCTCGGTCATTTTTAGTAGAATCGGCACATGTGACATGCATTTTTCGTTCGAGCCTAGACTTTCTCAAAGTCATTCGCTTCTCATTTCCAGTTCCCGTAGTTGACCCCAGCGCGAAGGTCGAGCTCCCACTCTCTCCCTCACTTTTGCCGCAGAAACATAAAAAATATACCGCTCGCACTTCGCGTTCGTGAAAAACATTGAGCTCGACCTTGTAGGCAAGTCTAGTTTGAGACGTGCTTTATGAGACCGCTATCTTGATAGTTTGGTTTTGGTTTTGTTTTTCTTGCAAACCTTTGATTTGATAACATGATTGTTGTCTTGTTTTCTTACAGGCTTTTTTGGCCGTTGCAAGACAGATCAAGGAATATCACCAGAGGAGGGTTAGTTCAGTATAAAAATATAAATACAATCACGGACATGTTCATAGGTGACAAAAACAGACTCTGGATATACAAGTGTATAGATCTCCCCAGGAGATTCTTACTTTTCTGGGATCCTATGAAGAATTTCTATGGCGGCCAAGTTAACCAGCCCGCTGTTTAATCTGGGAGATGGGTTACCTGTTTCAGTTTTCAGATTGTTCTTTGTCGTTTTACCTGCTCGATTCTTCCAGTTTGCTATTGTGTCACTCGAATTTGTTTTATTATGACAATGCCGTCGTTTTTGGCGTGAAAAACGCATCGAGCCTTCAATCAATCAATCAGTCAGCTGATCAGTCAATACACGTTACGCATATTGAGCTAAAAGATAGTTCATCATGAGTACAATTTCGTGTTTCCCGTTCTACCAGTATGCAGTATGTACATGAGTTCTAGCCTCATGTAGCTTGTGGAAGAGCTCAGTTCTGGACTAGTAGCCAGAAGGTCGTAGATTTGACTCTCGCATTTCTGTCCCCGAATCATTTCTCAAGATACACATTCTTGCACTGTGTTTTATCAGAACACCGTTTACCCTGACAGCTGCCCTGAAACAAAATGTAGTCTCAACGTAGTCAATCAAGTTCTAAGGCTCCTCATCTCTTAGTTTCTCTTCCGCGTACTGTTATAACTCCGTTTTACAGTTATTTGAAGAGAGGAGGACCCACGATCGTTCCCAAGCTTTATGTCTTCTTCCTGCAGAGGAACTGACGAACGAAGTCCCTAGTAAGGAGATTGAGATGGAGAATTCGATCTTCTCATAAATAGTGCCATTAACAGTGCTACGTTTTCCTATTTATCCACTTTCTAGAGGAATAGAAATGGTCAGCTTTTTTACAGTGAAAAAGGGTCTCCCTAACTGAAGGAAATTGTCATTATATTTATCCTTAGCCTAATTACGTTATACTCTGAACACTAAGGTATTTGACTCCCTCTCGGGTCGTGTCTGACTTGTATTCGTTGTTTTGATTTCCAGAACGCAAGGTTAAATGATTTGAATGAATCAGGCCTCACTCCTATCCTCGGACAAGAGGGATCCCAGGGCAATACTCAGTCTTCTTGTTGTAGTTCGTGATGAAATTATACAACATTAATTATCACTATCATATGTAGCTTGATATTAACAGGGCTTAGCTTGGTTCCATATAATTGTACCTATCGTCCAAGAATTTTAGAGTATGACAGGGACATTGAGGGTTACATTGGAACAAGGCTTTAGAACTCTCTTAAAGCAAGTCTTTAGAGGATAATACATATCAGCATCTGGGTCTGTAAGTACAACTCAAACAATACTGAGAAGTGGACCCCCTAGGGAATTTAAAGAGTAATGTCACAAATTCTTGCGTGGCGAATAGAAAATCGCGTTCAGATTTCCCCATTCATCGGCTTAAGGGTTGAGTACTTTGTAGCTTTTTCAATAAGTACATTTTTAGGATTGATAAATTTTTAATTCCTAAGGTATTTGACGGCCTCTCGGGTCGTGTCTGACTTGTATTCGTTGACCAGTTTTATTAAATAGATACAAAACGGTGTATATCACTGAGCTGAGGCTATAAAAAAGCTTTACCACTCAAATACCGCGAGTAAAAAGAACATGAAACGTGTATCTAGTCTAAACTGACTCACAGGCTCCATTTCCCTTAAACTTCGTCTATGGCTTGTCTCTTTGGCTCTTCTTTTTTATTCTAATCTTACTTTGCCTGGGGATGAGTTTGACTTCTTGCATGATGACGTACATCGTACTTACACGCCAATAGAAAGTCATTTTAAGTAGTTCACTGTAATCAATGCAATGCAGATTTATGTTCCAAATATTGTAATAAAAGAGGAGTTTGTATAGTTCTTAGGATTTCAAGTTCCTTTTATTCAACACTATGTAATGTATCTATGTTTATATTAAAGTAATAAATGCATTTATTCACCGAACTATCAATTTCATCTTACACCAAATGCCGATCGGGCGTTTACCACCAAGAAACCCATTTCCCCATTTCTGGGTAGCCCTTTGAACAAAGCCGATTAGGCTTGTAAACGTAGTTAGCCCGTCCCTCCTGCTCGGAAGCCAGTACGTTCAGCATCTCTACATAAATTTTGTTTTGTGCGTCGCTGTCTGGTGCAAATTCTTGTTTGATAATTACGTGCTGCCCGAAACATTTTCAAGCTATTTCCTTCATCAGATTTCTGCCATAAGTAGTCACTATCGCGCCTTTACACTTCTTCACAGACACTTATTGATAAACAATTGAAACTTCTTCTTCGATGCTTTGCTGATCCTCAGAAATCAGAAGCCTAAACTTGAAGTTAGACGTGAAGAGTTTGCATGATGTTTCAAGTACTCCATGGCATCGGGCAGGGGATAAACGTGCCACCCTGCGAGCAGTGCCTTCTCTTAGCTTCTTGATCGAGGAGGAGAAAAGGAGACTGCCTGAATCGTGTCAAGCCTTTGAAATCGCCGCCACGCGACTGTTTAAACTAGTCAAGCTTGTTTTCTCTTGCCAAACTGGTTTTTTGATTGCGGGCATGCAGTAGACCCAAATGGAGCAAGCGAAAGAAAGGCTCTGCTGGTAGGGTGTGAATGTGTCTTTTTGACGTCATTGACTGGCGATGGTGTCACTGCCTTGGTGCCAAACATTTCATGTTGCCCCTGTGGCAGACTGGATCTTTTTGTGTCAGTGGTGAATCCTAGTGCCCTAGTGAATCAAAGGTATATCTGACCTGGGTTAAGATATTGTCCGGGTTGTGACCTTTTTTCTGTAACTGAATAGCCTAACAGCAAGCTCTGTCGACTTGAGAGTTACGCCAAGAGCCGGGGCCAAGAGGTCAGAAATTGAAG